TGTTTGGCTATTCCAGTTCCTTTGCCTGTCCCTATACATTTTACAATCTACTTGTATGTATTTACCTAAAAAAAAAAAAAATCCGTCTTGTATTTTTATTGAAATGACATTAAATCTATAAATCAGTCTGGAGTGAATTGACATCTTACACATATTGGGTCTTCCACACCATGAACACATGTATGTTGCTCCATTTATTTAGATCTTTTCTGATTTACTTAGTCAGCATTTTGTAGTTTTCATCATACAGAGCCTGCACATGGTTTGTTAGATTTATCCCTAAGTATATCTTTTTTGTAATTTTGGAGCTATCGCAGATGGTATTGTGTTTTGTATTTTGGTTTCCAATTGTTCATTGTTAGTTTATAGAAATATGGCTGATGTTGTATGTTGACCTTGTATCTTGTGATCCTGCTCAACTCACTTACTAGTTCCAAGCAATTTTTTTATAGATTCTTTGGGACTTTTTGTATAGACCTGTCACCTCCCAGTAGGGTCATATTATTCGCAAATAGTTTTATTTCTTCCTTTCCAATATATATACCTCTTTTTCCCCTTATTACACTGGCCAGAACTTCCAATGTCATGTTGAATGGGAGTGGAGAGAGTGGACGTCCTTGCCTTTTCCTAATTTTTGAGGTGAGACATTCAGCCTTTCACAATTAAGTATGTTAGTTGTGGGGTCGTTGTCATTGTTTGCAGATGGCCTTTATCAGATTAATAAAGTTCCCTTATGTTCCTAATTTTCTGTAAGTTTTTCTCATTAGCAAGTGTTAAAAATTGTCAAATGCTTTTACTGCATCGATCAATATGATCATATGCTTTTTATTTTTTAGTCTTTAATATGGTAGATAACATTGATTGATTTTCAAATATTGGACCAGCCTTGCATCCCCGGGATAAACTCATCAGGTCTTTGTCCATTATTCTTTTTCTATGTTGTCGGACTTGAGTTTTCCATGTATGTTCATTAGGGATATTGGTCTATTTTCTTGTCTTGTATTATCTTTGTCTGGTTTTGGTATCAGGGTAATGCCAGACTCATAAAATGAGTTGGGAAGTGTTCCCTTCTCTTTTATTTTCTGAGCCCATGGATTATTTAGAAATGTATTGTTTAATACCCAAGTGTTTGAAGATTTTCTAGCTGTCTTTCTTGGTTTCAAGTCTAATTTTGTTATGGTCAGCAAACCTACTTTGTATAGCTTAAATTATTTTAAATTAAGGTTTGTTCTATGACCCGGAATATGGCTTATGTGCACTTGAATGTTTCATGTGCACTTGGAAAGAATTTGTATGCTGCTGTTGTTGTGTATAGTATTCTACAAATGTCACTTAAATTCAGCTGGTTGACGGTATTATTCAGTTTTTCTGCATCCTTGTTGATTTCCATCTACTTGTGCTGTTAAATACTGTTAAAATCTCCAACTATAATTGCAGATTTATTCACTTATCCTTTAGTTCTACTAGTTTTTCCTTCATGTACTTTGAAACCCTATTGTTAGGTACATACGCATCTAGGACTGTTATATCTTCTTCATAAATTGACTCTTTTATCATTGCATAATGTCCCTCTTTATTTATGGTAATTTTCCTTGCTCTGAAATGTGCTTTGGCTCATATTAATATAGCCACTTCAGCTTTCTTTTGATTTGTGTTTGCCTGGTATATCTTTTTTTGTCTTTTTGCTTTTAACTTATTTATGTGATATTCGAAGTGAGTTTATTATAGACGGCATAGAGTTGATGCCTCTTCCTCTTATTATCTACTCTGACAATATCCTCTAAATAGGTGTGCTTAGATCATTTACATTTAATATAGGTATTGATATGTTTGGGTTGAGGTCTACCATTTTATTATTCATTTCATTTGTTCTTTTTTGTTGTTGTTGTTCCCCTAATAGAAGGAAAAAGCAATAAGGATTCTTCCCATGCTGTTGGGACCACAGTTCCCAAGGGTATGGAAAGTTAGAGAGAAATTTTCTTTCCTCAGAATTTTAGGCACCTGCATAGCTACTGCCTTCATCACTGCTGCTGCGACTGCTGTCACAAGATTGCTTGGGGCTGTAGCAGGAGAAAATGGAAAAAGGGGGGAGGTTTCCTCATCTCTCTCATCTTTAAGGGGCCTTTTTCTGCTCCTCCGACCAGAAGAGAGGGCTTTTCTTTGACCTCTGCCTTCCCTCAGTGTGCACGTCTGAGTATCAGGCTGGCTTTGTATCCAGGATGAGATATAACAGAGAGGGGAAAGCAGAAAATCCATCGCCAGATTGTTCTTACTGCAAGTTCTGGGTTCCTTCCACGCTGCCTGCTACCATTTACTTTTCAGAATCCTCAAATAGCTGGCCCGTGCATGCTATTCAGAGTCTTTAGTTGTATTTACTGGGAGAGTTACAGTGGAGTGTGCTTATTCCATCTTTACTACAACCAGAAACTTGAAGGTCACATTTTTTTTTTTTTTTTTTGAGACAGAGTCTCACTGTGTTACCTGGGCTAGAGTGCCATGGGGTCAGCCTAGCTCACAGCAACCTCAAACTCCTGGGCTCAAGCGATCCATCTGTGTCAGCCTCCCGAGTAGCTGGGACTACAGGAAGGTCACATTTTGATGTTTCTTTTTCCTGACTTTTTTTCAATGCACATATGCAAATTTATACTTAAAATTAAGGTTAGAAATATGTTAACTATGTTGTTACCTACTGTTTAAAATGAATACTTTGGAAAATCTTCTGAATCCAGTAAATCTAGATATACATCATCATTTTATGACTGCATAGTATTCTATTGCACAGATTAATTCATTTAATTGACATCTTATAATCGTGCCTTTAAGTTTCTTCTGGTTTGCTTCCATTATTAACAATGTTTTAACGCATATTGTTGCACATACTCTTTATCCACTTGTACAATATTTTCCTTAGGATAAGTTGCTAAAAGTGGAATTGCTTTGACAAGAAGTATGAACATTTTGAATTTTGATACTTATTGCCCAGCTACCCTCCAGAAATGCTATATCAATTTCCCTCTTGCCAACTCAGTATGACAGAAAATTTTCTCATATCCTTGCCAATATTGGTTGTCACTATTTTTTCTAATCTTTGCCAATGGTATCTCACATTTTAATATTCATTTCTAAGATTATCAATAGACTGAAATTATTTATAGTACATTATAATTTCAATACATTGCCGAATTCAATTTGTTGATATTTATTTTTTTAATTTTGCATCAATATTTATAGGTGAGTCTAATCTATTTTTTGGTAAAATATGTAGAATATAAAATTTACCATTTTACCAATTTTTAAGTATACAATTCAGTGGCATTAAGTACATTCACAATGCTGTGCAACCATCGCCACTATTCATTTCCAGAACTTTTCTATCATCCCAAACAGAAAGTCTGTACCCATTAAACCATTACTCCTCATTCTCCCTCTCCCCAACCCCCCGTAGCCTCTATTATACTTGCTGTTCCTGTCTCTGTGAATTTGCCTATTCTAGGTACCTCATATAAGTGAAATCATATAATATTTGTCCATTTATGTCTGATTTATTTCACTCAGCATAATGTTTTCAAGGTTTATCCACGATGTAGCATGTATCAGAATTTTATTCCTTTTTATGGTTGAATGACTTTCCCTTATATGTATACATCATGCTTTGTTTATCCATTCATTGTTGTTCTGTTGATGGGCATTTGAGTTGTTTTTACCTTTTTGCTATTTTGAATAATGTTTCTGTGAACACTAGTACGCAAGTATCTGTTTGAGTTCCTATTTTCCATTCTTTTGGGTATTTACCTAAAAGTGGAATTGCTAGACTATGTGGTAATTCTATGTTTAACTTTTTGAGGAACCTGCCATACCATTTTCCATAGTAGCGACACCATTTTGAATTCCCACCAGCAATGCATCAGGGCTTCAAGTTCTCCACATCCTTGCCAACACTCATTATTTTCTGTTTTTTGTTGATTGGTTGGTTGGTTGGGTTTTTTATAATAGCCATTCCAGTAGGTGTGAAGTGCTTGATCTATTTTTTTTAACTGCCTTTATTAGATTTGGGTATCAAAGTTAAGCTGGCTTTGTCCAATAAACTAAGAATCTTTTCTTTTTCTCTATGTTTTGGAGCAGTTTAAATAATAAAGAAATTTTCTTTATTCTGTGGGTTTGTAAGAACTTAACAGATGAACCATCTGGGCCAGACACCACTTTTTTAGAACTAGTTCTCTGACAACTTTCTCTATTTCCTCACTGGTTACTTATATAAGCGATTTTTCTAACTCTTCTAGAGCCTTTGAGTCATTTTTACTTTCCTATAAAAACCAGTATGATATAGAGGACTCAGATTTTCTTTTTCGCTATCAATAAATACATATATTTATCATTTCTCATATTGTCTCTTTGGTCTCTCTCTTTAGATTAGCTCCCCCAGGATATGTTTGTTTTCTCTCCAAAGAACAAGCTCTTGGACTTGTGCAGAGTTCCTCTGCTTCTCAGCCACTGGGGTGACTCTTTGGGGATCAGACTTGGGAGCACCCCCTGCTTGGGTCACAGTCTGGCAGCCTGGGGTCATGATTGCGGGCAGGGATCTAGATCCCAATGGTCTGAGTTCAAGTCGTCATTCCTTTACTTACTAACTTTTTGACTTTGAACAGTCATTTAGCCTCTTCGTGTTTCAGTTTCCCCATGTGTAGAATGGAGGAGGGCGGGATACTACCTACCTCGTGCGCTTAATGCTAATACTAAAGAGTTGGTATTGAGTGCCGGGCACACAGTAACCGCTATGTAAGTACTTCTTAAATAAATCTAGACTTCCCTCCAGCATGCTAGAAGCCTAGGTCCCCTAGGAGCTTCTCCCTTTCCCAAATATACTTTCTGCACCTACCCACCCCTTATGCTAACTACCTCCTATTTTGCAGAACCACCTCTGCGCAGAAAAACAACCACTTTGCTTTCCATTCTGCTGCCTTGAGACAACCACATCCTCCTCACGCTCTCCACAGGCTCCCATGGAGAGCTCAGGTCAGTGTGTGGGAGGGGCAGGGTCTAGTGGGCCTGCTGCTCAGGGGGGTGGGCCCCTTGTGTGGATGAGTATGCCCCACGGCTGGCAGGACCCCCTGCACCCAGCCAGGCATCTTGAGAGATGGACATCCACACACGTGCATGAGACCCCAGCTGCTTGCAGGTCACTGAGCTGGAGGATGAGAATAATGACAAGAACAGCCAAAATTTATTACCAAACACTTGTGATTATTTAATGAAAATCTATATATTAATAGCATTTACACTGTATCAAGGAGTGATAAAAACACTTGACAAATATTAACTCATTTAGTCTTCTCTTTTTTTTTTTTTTTTTTTTTTTGAGACAGGGTCTCGCTCTGTTGCCTGGGCTAGAGTGCAGTGGCGTCATCATAGCTCACTGCAGCCTCGAACTCCTGGGCTCAAGTGATCTTCCTGCCTCAGCCTCCCGAGTAGGGACTACAGGCATATGTCACCAAGCCCAGCTAATTTTTAAATTTTTTGTAGAGATGGGATCTCACTATTGCCCAGGTTGGTCTTGAACTCCTAGCCTCAAGTGATCCTCCCACCTCGGCCTCCAAAAGTGTTAAGATTAGAGGCATGAACCACTATGCCCAGCCTCATTTAGTGCTTCATAACAACCCCATAAGATAGGTATTATTACTCGCATTTTATAGAAGGGGAAACCGAGGCATGGCAAGGCCAGGTACTTTTCCCAAGGTCACATAGATATTGTACAGTCAAATTAGGCTTGGAACCCAACATTCTGGCTCCAGCATCTGGGCTCTTAATGATTTCACTGTGGATTGCCTCATGCAAATGCCAGAAGGATTCTGTGGGGTAGGAGCATCGCTATGATTATCCTTGTTTTCCTGAAAGGGAAACTAAGGCTCAGAGAGGTTAGGTAATTTGCTTAAAGCCACATGGCTAGTGAGTGCAAAGCCTACACTCTTCACCCTGTATCAATCTGGCACAGCAAGGAGAGGTGACCCTGCCTCCCAAGGTGTGTCATCTAAGAGACCACACTTCAGGCCACCAGCCAGAGACTCTAATGCCCTTGAAGATCCCTGTCCTGGGGAAGGGGAGGGGACCCCCCAAGACAGGGTCAGCTTCCTGGTTGTTATCATCCCCGCAACACGGATCCTTCCCACACTCCATCCATCCTCAGAACCTCTTCCAATCAGAAGTAGCTCCACTGAGTCAGGCAACCCCACTGAATCCCGGTCTGGCAATATTCTGGGTTGTCTGTAACCAGCCAGAATTTGGGGTGGGAGGCCAGGAGTGGGGCAGCCCTGTGAAAAACCTCCTAAATATAGTCACGGGCCATGGAACGACGTTTTGGTCAATAACAGACCTAATATACAACAGCGGCCACATAAGATTACAACACCGTATTTTTGCCGGACCTTTTCTATGTTTAGATATGTTTAGCTACACAAATACTTATGATTATGTTACAATTGCCCACAGCATTCAGTACAATGACCTGCTGCACAGGTTTGTAGCCTGGAGCAACAGGCCAAACCCTATAGCCTTGGCCATCTAGGTTTGTGTCAGTACACTCCATGATGCTCACACAATGAAATTGCCTAATGATGCACTTCTTAGAACGTATCCTTGCTATTAAGTGACACGTGACGGTTTCAAAGCCAATTTACTTTGCACTCACTTTAATTATAGCAATACATATACACTACACTGTCTTTCAGGAAGAGAGGTATACCAATAAAGGTTCTTTGGATACAAGCAATAGAAACTGATATGGCTAATTTAATTTCAAAAAAACAAAGTGGCCAAGCATCGAAGGAAGGGCTGAAACACCAGACACCAGAAAGGCAGGTGACAGGGCAGACCTGCCACCAGGACAAAGAAAGGCAGACGATGCCCTTGAGAGAACACCAGGTGTTCTTCCCTCCTTGAGCCTCTGAATAAACCTCTGAGAGAGAGAAAGAGACCTTGGCCAGCCTGGTCCTGTGCCCACACTGAAGCCAGAGCAAAGTAGGGCACCCGGGTCATAGCCCCACCAAGATTGCCATGAGCAGGGAGGGACACTGGGTAGGTGAAACCCCCGACATCCATGCCCGAAGGTGTGACAGATGACACCCACATCCAGTGGGTGAGAGGACACACCCCCAAAGTGGGACACTTGCCCTGGCAGCTGTGATAGGGAGTTCACCCCCTGTGACCAGGACTGCAGCTGTCCCGGCCGCCTGCCCACATATGATTGTGTTGTTAACTCTCCCTCCTTCCCTCATGGTCCTCTCTAGCCCTCGTCCTAGAGTTAACAAGAGGGGCACCTGGGAAGGAAAATATTTATTTTAGGGGACAGAAGAGAGCGATATTTCAAACGCACTTGTTATTTTGCCATCCCTGCAAACAAGGACAAGACTGCAAAGGTTTCTAGAACAATCAGAGCCTTTTTACTGCATGGGGGTGAGGGGGAATCAGTGTAGGGTGGAAGAGGGGCCTCTGGGTGCTGAGGTCCCTCTAGGTGTGATTTTCTTTGGTGGGAGAGGCAACATGAGACAAGGGTAGGGGCTCTAGACCTGGAGTCTACAAAACAGGGAGAACAGTATTTGTCCTGCCACACTCACAGGGTTCTTGTCGGAATCAAATGAAATAATATGTTGGAAAACACTTCATGTATCCAAGAGTCAGTCAGAGAACGGTAGCTCTGTAGCAACCCCAAATTTGATTAACATAACAAACGTTTATTCTCGCTCACGTCACAGTCCAATCTGGGCTCCAAGAAGTCATTCAGGGACTGGAGAGAGAGTATGGAGGACAGTGCAGGGGACTTTATGACCGGGCCTACAAGTGACATATATCACTCCCACTGCATTCCATTGGCCACAGCTATGTCACATGGCTTTTAGCTAACTGCACAGGAGTCTGGGAAATGTAGTCTTCCTGTTTACCTGTGACAAAAATGAACCTGGTTTGATGAACGCATCGTCTTGTCACACCTATGGAAGACTGTGTGTGCATGCCTTTCAGGTGCCGTCTAAATGTTAGGTAGCAATAGTAATAGTAATACCTAATAGTAATATCCTACATTCCCAGATGGAGAGGAGGATAGTCATAGTGGCTGTCATTTATTTATTGACTGTTCTGAGTCAACAATGACATCAGACACGCATATTATTTATGACCAACCCTAAGACACTTGAGGCACAAGAAACATCTCATTTCTTTCTTTCACTTAATCACATCAAAACCAGCTTCAACCTCTCATTTTCCAAGGTTAAGATGAATCCCAGCAACATTTACTTGGGGTGTTTCCCCCCTCCTCGGGAGCCTGTGAGAAGCCCGGGGCTTACAAAGTCTGGACAGTGGGAAAAGTCTGTGGTCTCCAGTCCACCATGGCTGCAGCCTCCAGAACTGCTTGGCAGGGTCACATGGTCCACAGGGAGATAGGAGGATCCTGTGGGGGACATTCTTGTGCTCTGGTGAAGGTGGCTCAGGAGACCTTCGCTGTGGCATTCAAAGGCACAGGGTTCAGTCTTTAGCTGCCCTCGTCTGATCTTGGCCACCACTGGTAAGCTGTGTCCCAGCCAGCCTAGTCTTCCTCATTCCCTGGAACCCCATAACCCTTGGGCCCTCACAGTGTTGGGGAATCCAACTTCCCACCCTTGGATTGGGCCACTCTGCTCTTCAGCTAAAAGTATCAGCCTTCATCCCCACCCCTTTCAGACAATCCAGCTTGATTGGTTCAATCAGCTGGCCAGGGGTCTCAGCTCCAGGGCCTCTAGGGTCCAGGTAGAGGCTGTAGACAGGGAAACTAGGGCAGTGAGGACAGTGAAGAACTAGAGAAGCTATGTCCATCTCAAGGGGGCAGCTTCTCCTGAAGAAGGCAGGCCCAGTGTGAACAGATTTTCAAGAGATTCCAGAAACCCAAACTTTATTCAAAATCTCCTGATTTGTAAATGTTGGCAGCTAATTTGGTTTTGTTTTGTTTGTTTTGTTTTGTTTTAAGACACTACACAAGCCCAAGCAAAACAGGTCTGCAAGCCAGATGTGGAGCAAAGCCTGAGACTTTGAACTCTGTTCTGGCTGCCCAGACTTTGGGGAAAAAACAAAGTTTATTTGAAGTTGTCTCCCAGGGCTACTGGCAACTTCCCTATTTTTCTGTGAAACATAAAAAGTTAACTCCGCTGCAAAGCAGGGGAACCTAGGGCTCAGAAGACAAAGGCTTGGCTGCCCTTCTAACGAGGGAGAAGAGAGGACAACATGGTTGTCACAGTTGAATGTTTTTCTGCGCAGTGCACAGCAGGAGAGAGAAGGAAGGAAGGAAACTTGTCATATATTTTTTCTAATATGCATTAAAATAAGTGCATAACCACTCAGATTTTAAGATTGTTTGTGTACCACCTAAAATTATCTTGCCTGTCCTCAGTCGTATACATACCGCACTTTAAACCAAGAACCCAGACATGCCATTGGAAGGAAAGGCTACATTCCAGCCCTGGCTGGTGTGAGCTGACAGCTCTAAGTTGATTACTTTTGTCACCTCTTGAGGCTCATAAAAGGGGCTAAAGACATTCCCAGAGGGGATGGTGGTGGGGCAAGGGTGGGGCCAGGTGGGCTGAGCTCCTCTCTGCTCCCCACTGCTGCCCAGATGTGGAGCTGGACCTCCAGAGGAGCATGCAGGCTGTGCTCCGGGAGCTCAGCGCCCAGGCCCCGGCCCTGCAGAGCAACCAAGGTAAGAGCCAGCAGGCGGGTGGTGGCTGCTCCCTCTGCCTCCCCTCCCCCACCCAGCCGGTTATCTGCCCACATGTTCAGGGAAAGGCCCCAGCCTGGAGTTCATGGGGTGGAGGGGCTTCCAGCAAGCCCTCTTCTTGCTGGAAATACCTAGAGCCTGAAGGACTGAGAAGGCTCCTCCGCTCCCTGGTCCAACCCTTCTGGAACTGCAGCGGAGCGCATGGGGGTCTGCCACCCCCTCTCTTAACCACCTTCCCCCGCTCACTGCCAAACCAAATGCCCCTCCGCACTCCAGGCCAGCGGGGGTCCCAGAACGTGGGGGGCGGCACACGCCTGCAAACATTGCTGCTCTGTGATGCACACGCACGCACCATCCCCACTTGTGTCCCACCTGCCCTCTTCTGTCCTGGGAGCTCACTGTCCCCAAAGAGCTATGGATCAGTAATTCCCCCCAGGTGAGAAGCCCACCAGGTGCATATGGAACCCAGCGCTGGCAGAGGGATCAGACCTGTGGCTGATCAAAGACACAGTCTGGGGCTCCAGGGGTCAGGGTGCTGCTCAGAGGAGCATCCTCTAAGAGCCCCCTACCCCGCCCGGTCCTGCTGGGCTCCCCTTTCTCCTGGCCCAGGCATGTGGAGATGGTCCCTGCACAAGAAGGTCGAGCGAGATCCTGGTAAGAGTCCGGCGCTGGTCCGCATTCTGCTCCGAGAACTGGAGAAGGTGGGTTCCTGGCCTCGGGGAGGCAGCTGGGAAGAGAGGGGCCGACCGGCGTGGGGCTTGGTCCCGGCAGTGCTGCAGCTCCCAGACTTAGTCATTCGTGGACCATCTGCGTGATTCTCACCACGTATTATACATCTCCCTCCCTGTTTAGGTGAATAAACATATTTCAAAAAGAAGCTGGGTGCAGTGGCAGCCTTCAGTCCCAGGGGCTCGGGAGGCTGAGGCAGGAGGATCACTCGAGCCCAAGAGTTCAAGGCTGTAGTGAGCTATGATCGTGCCTGTGAATAGCCACTGCACTCCAGCCCAGCATCACAGCAAGAATCCTTCTCTTAAAAAATAAAAAAGGAAAGAAACCCCACAACATGACCATAAATGGAAAACCCATATCACTTGTCAGAAACAGAAGGCACCTATAAACATAATTATATAACTATTGACGTTTTTCAAAATTATCCTTGTACCACCTAAAATTATCCTCCGCACCACCCAATGTTCTGCGGGCAGCTGTTAGGGAAATGCTGCGCTCAAGGGAGGCTCCAAGTTGGGGGTTTGTTTGTCGCTTTGCTGATGCTCCTGCCCTGAGTCAATGCTGGCCCTCCCCCACGGAGTTCCCTGCACCCCTGCACCTCCCACAAGCTCAGGAAAGGGCTCCACATCTGTGCTCCCCTCCTCTCCACCCTCTGCCCGGGACAGACTGTGGCCCTTTGCACTCCCCTTGGCTGCCCTCCACCCCATCGCCTGCCCCCCCACTCCCCCACCCCCAAGACTGCCAACGGCCTCCTCTAGGATGCAGGGAGACCGCCAGCCTAGTGAATGTCACGCGATCCACCTCCTGTTTTCCAGGCTGAAAGCGAGGACCTCCGGCACGTCATCATACCCTTGCTGCATACTCTAATGTACGTGCTCACTAAGGTGAGCTGGGGGCTCAGGTCGAGGTGGTAGTGGTGATCCGCATGTGGCTGGGCCGGACACTGTCCTCTTCTCTTAGTGGACACTCGGCCCCTGCCAGGGCCAGCCTAGAAAACCCTCTTGACTGCCTGCCCCAAACTGGCTTCTAAGCGCAAGCTGCGCCCTTCCCCTCCCACGTGGAGAGAGGACGTTGGAGAGGCTGTGGGGAGGTCGAGGCAGTGCGGAGAATGCATGGAGAGCCTCGAGAGGCAGGACGAGGTCTTTGTTCGTACGAGCAACAGGAGCTGTCATTGATTCCTACACAGAGAAGAAACGTGATAAGACTTTTCTAATGTCACAGAAAGTGCAATCGGGAGCTGTGTGCAGTCGCAGGGGTGGGTGTGGTGGCGAGGAAGGCAGGAAGGGGTGGGGTGCGGCTCAGGCAGAGGCAGAGGACACCCTGAGGAGGGGGCAGGGGAGCCCGGGGCACCGTGAGTGGCTCGGGCCTGTGCCATGCAAGGAGGAGCAAAGCAGAAGTGACTCGAGGTTTCGAACCTGGAGAGCTGCAGGAACGCAGTGCCCCGGCAGAGCAGAAGGGCTGGTGCCGGGAGTCGATTTGCCGGCGGAATTGATGGGATGCATTTCCGCCTTGGTAACCTAGAGGGCGGCAGGAAAAGGATGTCTCCCAGGTGTGCTGGGGGAAGACCAGGAAGACGTGGGTTTGGAAGAGAGCTGTGCACGCAAGTCTGGCTGTCAGGCCCGACCTTCCTCTTCCTCTCCCAACGCCCACCCCACCCCCTGCCGGGACCCTTCCGGACCTGGGCTCTGGGCATCCCAACTCCTCCCTCCCCCGCAGGCCACAGGCATCACGGAGGAGCTCCACCGCAGGACCTACGCCTTCTGCACGAGGTTGCTGACCCTGCCCACCCCCTACTGCACAGTCGCCCTGGACTGCGCCATCAGGCTGAAAACAGAGACGGCGGTCCCAGGTGAGAGCTGCCTATTTGTCTCCCATGCGACACCTCCCGCACCATCCAGGGTCTTGCCTTTTTCTCCAGGAGGCTGGGGAGCTCAAAAGTCTCAGCACCCGCTGTGGGCAGGTGGGGAATGGCAACCAAGCCTGGGGGCTGGTTGGCTGACGCGGTCTCGTCTGCAGGGACGCTCTACCAAAGGATGGTCATTGCCGAGCAGAACTTGAGGAATGAACTGTATCCCTACCAGGAGAGGTGAGTGGCTCCAGAAAGGTCACTGCCTTCAGCCCCCTCAAGGTGTTAAGGACTGTGGCTGCTCACTGACAGGAGGACAAAAGAGGAGGCTGGACTCTGCTGAAGCCCCGGCAGAGCTTCTCGGCAGTGACCTTTGTCCATCTGTGCAGTGTGTTTGCAATTCAAGTGTGGACGGGCTACATGGTTTTCTGGAGAGCACCGAAAACAGGATGGGTCTTTCTCGTTGGGTTGGATTCAGAGCTACTCTGCTCACATGCAGAAGGCGGACATGGCCTCAGGGCCCCTTCTGGAGTTCTTGTGTTCCACCTCCATCCTACCCTGGGCCATGGTGCGGCACCAACCCGGCCAGGCAGCCAGAGGTGGCTCCGGAATGTCCACAGTGGAGTCACACAATGAAATTGGGAGGTTTTCCTCTGAGTGTGCCCAGCCCTTTAGATAAGATTGAGGAAACGTCCACCGTCCGTGTTGAGAAAAGGGGTGATGAAGTTGGGGTTGATACCTCCCTCTGACCGGGCACTGACGGGCACAGCTCGGGTTTGAGGCTTGGGACGCTGTGTTCATGACAGGAGCAGGGAGGTGAAGGGGACCTGGAGAATTGGCCCTGGAGAAGTGGGGATGAAAGCTGAGTGAGGAGGAGAGTAGGTGAGGCTGGTTTTCTCGTGTGCTAAGGGCGATGAGAGAAGATGTGATGCACTTGGGGTTCAGAGCCCCAGTTCTGGCAGGAAGGATCTAAGATCCCTCCTAGATGGTGGTGTGGTCGCTGGGCCAGGATGCTGAGGGAGGGAGCAGGATTAAGGTTGGAACATACCTAGATACAGGACGAGGCCTGCTTTCCCGTGTGAAGACAGACGACTACAGCAAATGGACTGGAACTGCCCCTCCACAGGGCTGTGCATGCTCTAATTTGCCCTAGTCCCCACCACTCCCTATTGTCATCCCACTTAGAGACTTTCGAATTTGAGGCTCCTCTTTTTAGAGGAACTAAATAACTTCGGGGTGCTGCCCGGCCCTGAGGGTGCCCATCCAGTGGCCACTCTCCCAGTAGTCATTTTCATCAGTCCTGCCCCTCCCCCACCTCTGCCCACAGAGTGTTCCTCTTCGTGGATCCCGAGCTGGTGTCTGCCTCCGTGTGCAGCGCCCTGCTCCTGGAGATAGAGGCGGCCCAGGAGCAGCAGACACCAGAGGCCTGCATGCGCCACGTGGTCTCCCACGCCCTGCAGGCAGCTCTGGGGGAGGCCTGCCACGCCGGCGCTCTGCACAGGAAGCTGCAGGTAAATGCCCTACCCCAGCCCCGGATTCCAGCCCGGGTCCCTGCACATTCATGCCAATCACTCACTCTACTTGTCCGCCTTCTCCTGTTTTATATCACTCCCCCCACCTCAAATAAAAATTCATACACTTTTACTAAGGAAAAGCTGAAAAATGCAGATAAGCTCAAGAAGAAAATAAAAATCACTCATAACCTTCGACCCAGACATAATCACAATGGACATGTTGTTATAGTCCCTTAAGAATAATGACAATAATAATGATATAAACAGTCACTGTTTATTGAACATCTGTTGTGTTCCAGAAGCTGTGTTAAACACTTTACATCTATCACAGTTCAAAATTCTCCCCACAGCATTGTGAAATGGATAAAATTATTATCATCTGCATTTACAGATGGGGACACTAAGGCACAGAGACGTTGATAACCCACTCATGGTCACACAGAGGCAAAGTGCCTGAGCCAGGAATTGAACCCAGATCTTGCTGACGTCAAGCTTACATTCGATTGCTTTCCAGCCTCCCCATCTCCTTTCTAACAAATTGGGACACCAAACACCATAAACAGTTTTATTAAGATACACTGCCTATATATGTATGCATATGTATGCATCTATGCATATTTATAGTACTTATTTTCCCGTGCCATTGGAAATACGCCAGGTGGAAATATTTTCCTTGGAAAATATGTACTTCTAAAGGTTGCACAGTGTTCCCTCTTATAAGTATGCTGTTATTTATTTAACCAATCCCCTGTTCCTGTTGTTAAGTGTTTAGTCTATTCCAGCACTTACTTCCTAGCTTTCCTCTCTGACTCAGTCTTAGTCCCCTATGTGTGACCCAAGAAATCCAGCAGGTTGGAGATATTCGGGCCAAGGGTTGGCACCAGGTGCTGGACTTCTTGGGTGGGGGTGGGGGACTGCTGCCTGTCAGAGGCGACTTTCTGCAGTGTGGCATGGCGGAGGCTGCTGGAAGGCTGGACTGGAGGATGGCCAAGGTTCTGAGCAGCTACTCCTCAGGGCTGCAGGAGGGGCTAGGCACCCAGACTGGGGGGTACCCTCAAGGGTTCAGCCATCCCCTGCCTGTCCTGCCCCAGGAAGTGAGGGGGTCAGTCCTTTTCCCCAGCCCATGACTCAGACCCTGCTCTGCCCATCGAAATGCACTGGACTCACTGCTCTTCCTCCGGGAATCCCCCACAGTCTTAATTCTTGCTCGTTTCCTTTCTTTGGCAGGTCCTTCCCTTCACGTACGGCTGTGTCCCTCCTAAACCATGCTTATTGCTTTCTGTCATTCTCTTTCTCAAAGAGCACCTTTCCTATACCTAGGACATCATTCCTCTGTGGTCACCCACCTGCTTGGGCCTATCAAGGGTTCTCGACTCACTCCCCCCACCCAACCATCCTTGACTTCTACTGCTTTCATAGCATCCCCTGTAGGTGTTCGCAGCACACAGCTACATGTGGGACAATGCCCCCACACTCCACTAACTCATACCTAAGGCCTCATCTTGGTTTCAGCACACATGTATGGCCCCTAATGTCCATACTGTCCCCTCTCCCTGCATTTGGCCACGACTCTCAGGAAGGTGGGGAAGAGAGGATTTTTCCTGACCCAGCATTTGTCTGCTAACTCAGCAGTTCCCACTCCCCTTCCTGCAGCTCTGGTGGTTGTTTCTGGCTCACAAGACAGGACATAGTGTAGGCATCATTTTGACACAGCCAAGTCAAACATGTAAGAGCGCTGATTTTTTTTTTTTTTTTTTTGGGACAAAGTCTCACTGTGTTGCCCGGGGCTAGAGTGCTGTGACGTCATCCTAGCTCACAGCAACCTCAAACTCCTGGGCTCAAGCAATCCTACTGCCTCAGCCTCCTGGGTAGCTGGGACTACAGGCATGTGCCACCATGCCCGGCTAATTTTTTCTATATATTTTTAGTTGTTTGCTTAATTTCTTTCTATTTTTTTTTTAGTAGAGACGGGATCTCGCTCTTGCTCAGGCTGGTTTCGAACTCCTGAGCTCAAACAATCCACCTGCCTCGGCCTCCCAGAGTGCTAGGATTACAGGCGTGAGCCACCGCGCCCAGCCAAGAGCGCTGATTTTTGTTCCTTAGTGATATGGGAAATAGATAACCCACCCCTAAGACTCACACCATCCCCAACTTGGAGGCAGCTGGGGTTCAGGGTAGGGTTAGGAATGAAGGTGAGCTGGGATCGAGGGTAGCAGGAATGGGATAGGATTGAGAGATGCCAGATCAGGAATGGGTGGGGTTCAGGGCTAGAACTCACAGCTCTGTCGCATACATTATTTTGCAATGGAAAAAAGAAACACCGAAAATAAAAGTTGTATTTTTTTAGGTGTAGTCAAAATGTTATATCCCCCCCTCCCACCTCTCTTTATCCAGAGCCCACTGCTCTGAGTCTTGATTTCTGTGTAGAGAGAATTCGGGGAGGGGGCAGAGGAGAGCAAGGAGAGATTATAGAGGTGTTCTTGATCTGAAATTAGAGACCCTTGGAAGCTTAGCGTTAGAGGGGTCCTCACAGTCCCCTGGCACCCCCCATTGGGTGCTGGGGCTCCTGGACATCAGCCTGGCCTGGGGTTCTCATGTTGACCACCACGCCCCACGCCCCTGAGACTCAGCCCCCCTCTCTGGAATTCTGCCTCTTGAGGCAGGTTTAGGGGTGTCATTGCCAGTCACCTGCCTGGCAGGTAGGACTTGTCTGACCCTCAGCCCACATTCTGTCTACTGAGGGCCTGGTCTGAGACCCAGATGGGGAGTAGATTGGTCTCCCCATGTGTCAACAGGACCAGCTGACAAGTCCCCAGACTGGGAGGTCAGCTTGGGACACCCCATCTCTCTAACCCTCTGTACTGTGTTCTGGGTGCTGGAGATGGGGGTGTCTCAAGGTAGGGCTGCCCCACGGGAGGTCAGGGGTGCAAGGACTAGGGGAGGTTTCTTTGCTAAGCCTTGAAGTCAGGGGTTTCCAGAGAGACACGGGAACCAGGCCGAGGAAGGGAGTCAGGACACAGCTTTGAGAGCCAGCTCTCCTGTGGGTTGGCAGTGTGACCTTGAGCCAGTTGCTGCTTCTCAGGGTCTGATTTTCCTCTTGTCCAGAAGCCATCATTCTACTGAGCTCCAGAGTCAGCTCCGCCCACAGCCTCTCCCCCATTTCAGCTCACTGCACGTCATTCTTACACCTGCTCCGGCAAAAAACCTTGGGGCAGGCTCCTTCCTATTGGTTCCGCCTTCAAATGTGGGCAGAATCAAGCCACTTCCCACCACCTCAACCGCCACCACTCCGGCCTCAGTGCCTCCTGGCCGCCTGCCCCTGCCGTGGGGCTCTGCAATCTCTTCTCAACCCTGTAGCTGCTAAGACATGAGTCGGGTCATGCCACATCTCTGCTCTGCCGTCCCCACGGCTCCCCCTCTGCTGCAGAGCAGCTTCCCTGGGAAGCAGACCCTGATGTGGAAGCTTCTGTGCAGCCCACATGGGGCATGAAGGATGCAAGGTGGGACGGAGGGAGAAACAAAGCTGTTATGTAGATGCTGAGTCTATGGGAAGCTGTGGAGTTGAGCTGGCCTTTAGAGATTTCTGGAATTAGGGTAGGGGGCAAGGCTTGTATGCCTCCACATCCACTAGGCATTGGATGTAGACTGTCCCCAGGAAGGGGGCATGTCCTTGGAGAGATGCCTCTCTTCCACTGAGGGTGATTTTGGAGACTCAGCTGAGCGTTCCAGCTGCCAGTTCTCCCAGCAGCAGGACTAATGAGTGCCTCAGTCCTGAAGGTGGGAATCGGGGTCACCACTACAATAGCTTCTATAGCATCTCACTCAGGGTCAAAGCCAAAGTCATTACAGTGGCCTACAAGACCCTTATGATCTGCCCCACTCTTCATTTCCTCTCCGATCCATCTCCTTGTACTCTCCCTCTCATTTTCTCTGCTCCAGCTACACAGGCCTCCTTAGTGCTCCTCACACATGGCTGGCAAACTTGCACCCCAGGGCCTTTGCATGTGGGCTCTCTATGCTTGGGATGTTCTCTCAGATATCTGCAGCACTGACCCCTTCACTTCCTTTGAGTCCTTACTTTGAGTCAATTTCTCAGCTGAGGCTTCCCAGACCACACAGTCTAAATATTCAGCCCCTCCCCCAAATTCCACATCCTCCTTCCTTGCTGTATTTTCTCTTCGGCACTTATTGTTATGTATTATACTAAACATTTTACTTATTTTTTTTATCTCCTGCCCCCTGCCACACACACACATACTATAAGTTCCATGAAGACAGGATCCTATTTCTGTTTGGTTCACTGCTATATCCCAGTACCTAGAACAGTGCCTGGCACAGAGTGAGCTGTTCTAGGAGACCAGACTTGAACAAAACAGACAAAATCCCTGCCTTCCTGGAATTCACATTCGGTGGGGAGGGGGCAGAATATTGATCCAAGTGCTTGGTGATGCTTTCGGGTTGGAGGGTGGCAGCAGCCATCTCTGCCCCTCTGGGTTACAGATGTTTCAGCCCACCAGCTGTCTTCCCAGAACAGGGTGTGACCGGCAGAAGGGACCCCCACCTGCAGGCAGTATCGGGCAACAGCTGTGGCGGGGCAAGAGTGGGCCCTGGATATGGGGTCCGGAAGCCTTTGCAGGAAGCTTCCTCCTGGCCCCCAGGGCAGAGGGGAGGTGCCACGCTGGGCTGCCAGGGCCCTAGGGACTTGGGTGGGAGGTGGGGTGCGTGGGTGCAGGGCCAGGCCCTAGGCTCTGACGCCGCTCTCCGACAGACCAGCTCCCACCGCACCCTGGAGCACTATTTCCACGCCGTGGTGGCAGCCGTGGAGCAGACGGCCAGCGAGGCCAGCCCGAGCCGGGCGGAGCATCTGGAGAGGTTGGAGGAGATTTACTGCTCGCTGCTGGGGCCGGCGGCCGCGAGGGGGCGCTGCGGCGGTAAGCGGCGAGCGGCCGGACAGGGCCCGCGAGGGGCCGGGAGGGGGCAGCGCAGCAGGGGCCGCCAGAGAGCAGCGCCGGACGTGCCACGGGTCTGCCTGCAGCTGAGGGCGGGACGCTGGCTGCTCCCGGGGCCTCGGGGCAGCCCAGGGCTTGGCAGGACGGGGCCAGGAAGGTGGGTGATTTGGTCATGACAACAGCTGAAACCTACAGAGCACATGCTGTTCCCCAGTTGCTGTTCTAAGCACTTTAAATATATTGCACATACCGTACTAAATCAATGGAATCCTCACAGCAAAACTTGGGAGATAGAAACCATTATTACCCCCATTTTTCAGAGGAGAAAACTGAGTTAGAAAGAGGTTAAGATTCAAATCCAGGCTGTCTAGTTACCACTCTGTGGTAATAACCAAAGGATCTGGTGGAACAAAGACCACGTACAGAGCATCTAAAATAGCAGATGGTCAACATCATTTACGCCTGTTGTCGCGGCTCTTTATTCCACACACTTCCCTCCTCTTTGTGCCTTGCGGTAATACCGGACACCGACGTGCAGCTCCATGTGGATGGGGGAGTCTGAAATAGCCTAGAGAAATGTCCCGAATATGTATTTCCTGGCTGTTGTAGGATGGTTCTGATTTGGGTCCTGTTTCATGGTAGCCCAAAGTACCTGTGGAATGTGTCAGCCTACCTGTCCCAGAACACACAGTCACTGATCATGTACCTGTAGTTACAAGGCACCGGGTTAAGGACTGGAAACCGCTGGCAGAGGTCAGCGTGCCAGCCCTGGGGTTTCAACTTGGCAGCCGAGGTTAGGTGGAAGCCGCAGAAGTCAGGGTGAGGTGGGCAAGACAGCCCCTGCCTACAGACTCCATCTTCTCAATTTTCTGCTTTTGTTTTGCTTTGCTATCCCGTACTGCCTCTGACCACCACATGGCAATGCCTGCTCATGAAGCTAGAGCAAGCCCGGGGCCAAGCTGCCTTTGCTCCTCTTGGGTACCACTTGCTAACAGCAGTAACTCTGTAGGGACCAGGCGAGACCATATGGGCCACCCTCAACCCCTGCCACACTTGGCGGCACCTGTCTCCCACCCAGACTTGCCCCGTGCATCTTAATGACTGGCCAGCACTCTGCTGAGCCCCTGCAGCTACAGGGGGCAGTATGGGACAGTGATTGTAAGCACAGTGTTGTGGGTAAGAACATGGACTCTGGAGCAGGGCTGCCCAGGCTTGAATCCTGGCTCTGCCACTTAGTCTCTGACCTTGGGCCAGTTACTTAACGTCTCTGTGCCTCAGTTCCCTCCCTATAAATTGAGGGTAATAATGTTACCTGTCACCCAGGGTCATTGGCAGGATCCAGAGAAATGGATCAGGTGAGCAGAAGGGGCCTGGCAGGTGTAAGGTCTGCTGGGAGGGAATGACCACCGTGGACCACTGGCGTGGTCAGGATTCTAGGAGGAGGAGCAGAGAGAAGTGTTGGCCCTGGTCTCTCCCCTGGGCTGCCCAGGCTTCCTCCTGCCCTTGGACTTTGCTGATGAGGTCTTGTAAGCATCACCGAGAGGAGCAGATGTTAATTGAGTGTTTACTGTGTGGACACTGGAAGCAGCGCTGAGAAAGACAGGTCTTTCCTGCCTCATCTGGATGTGCACAGGGCATTTACAGAACACCCAAGGCTGGGGGCAGGGGCCAAGTGGGGAGAGTGTTTGGAAAGGGCCTTGTGAGCTGGTTTGTGACAGCTCCTAAGGGCTGAGCTGGAGGCTTGTTTGTGGGAAACAGGGAGCTGCCAGGCATTCTTGGGCAGGGAGGGGACAGCTGCTCTGTTGGGCCCTGGAAGAGCTGGTGGTGGCATGGATGGAAAGGCCAACCCCACAAGACCCGTTGTGGGAAGGAAAGGGTCCCTGCCACCCCTCCAGGCCTCCCCACAGGAGCTGGGCAGGGCAGGGAGGGCAGAGGAGGGTCCCACACCCCTCTCCTCTGTGGCTTCCACAGCCCGCTCTTTTCTGCAGGTGACCCTGTCCAGGACCGGCCACCCGGCGTCCCCCTGCCCAGCCCCGGCATCACGTTCCACCTGTGGGCCGGCGAGGAGCAGCTCTGTACGTGCCCATGCCATCCACTGCTGTGCGGGGGCCGGCTGGAAACGGGGGTGCATGTCTACGTGTGTGCGTGTGTGTGTCTGTGTCTGTGTATCTGTCTCTGTGTGTATCTGTGTCTGTCTGTGTGTGTCCGTGTACCTGTATGTGTATCTGTGTCTGTCCGTGTGTTTGTGTCTGTGTGTCCTCTGTGGGGAGCTGGCTGGACACAGGGGTGGGGTGCTGCCGCCAGCCTCATGTGACCTAATGGCCCTGACGGTCCCCTGCTCCCCCACCCAGGGAAGGAATTGGTGCTCTTCCTCCGCCCGCGGTCCCCGCTGCGCCTCAGTGCTGACTTGGAGGCCTTGGATCTGCAGGGCCTCCGTCCAGACCAGGAGCTGGCCCGGGTGTCCGTGCTGTCCACCGACAGCGGCATCGAGCGGGACCTACCCTTGGGGGCTAATGAGCCATCTGCCCCTGGCAGTCCTGAGATGGAGCGCGCCGGGCTGCAGCGCAAAGGGGGCATCAAGAAGCGTGCGTGGCCCCCGGACTTCCTGATGCCTGGCAGCTGGGACGGGCCCCCAGGGCTGCACCGGAGGACAGGCAGGCCCAGTGGGGATGGGGAACTGCTGCCTGGTGTCTCCCGGCTGCACACGGCCCGGGTGCTGGTGCTGGGGGACGACAGGATGCTGGGGCGCCTGGCCCAGTCCTACCACAGACTCCGGTAGGGCCCCTAGGCAGCGGCAGGGGTGGGGGTGGGCCAGGGGAACAGGGGAGCCTGGCACAGGCTGGTGAAGGACCAAAGAGTGGCAGGAGAGGGTCGGGAGGCAGAGGCCAGGGAGGGACAGGGGAGGACCCTGCAGCACACCCCATGCGTGGCCACCCCGAGCACCGCGCTCGCTGCTGCCTGGTGTTAGCCCATGAGTCCTCATCGGCACCCTGCAAGGCGGACGTTGCTCTGCCCATTTTATAGATGAGAACGTAGAGCTCAGAGAGCTGACGTCAACTGCCCAGAGTCAAGAGATAATAAATGGCAGAGCCAGGATCAGCCGAGTATGTTTGAAGCCAAACCCTGCTCTTACCCCCTGCGCTTTGCTGCCCACTGCCAGGAAACGGGAGAGCCAGAAGTTTTGCCTCACGCCCAGACTCAGCCTGCAGCTCTACTACATCCCCGTGCTGGCGCCCGAGGTGACTGGGCTGGGGGCGGGGCGGGGCGGGTCAGGAGCGGGGACTGGGAGAGGAGGGGCGGGGCTGGCCAGGGGAACACCCGCGGCCTTGTGTCCCCAGCTCAGGCACTAGAACCACTATCCCGAGAGTGTGGGGCTGGGAGAGACCTGCAGGGTCTCCTGTCTCAGAAGCCACAGACGGAGGCTCTGGGGGCTGGAAGTGGCTAAAGATAGGTTCCCTCATGGTGGCAGCCAGCTCTTTGCTGTTTCTGTAACGGAATTTGTTGCAAATTTCTCCTCCTCAAACATGGAATTCTCTCTCTCTCTCTCTCTCTCTCTCTTTCTCTCTCTCTCTCTCTCTCTCTCTCTCTCTCTCTCTCTCTCTCTCTGTTTCTGTAACGGAATTTGTTGCAAATTTCTCCTCCTCAAACATGGAATTCTCTCTCTCTCTCTCTCTCTCTCTCTCTCTCTCTCTCTCTCTCTCTCTCTCTCTCTCTCTCTCTCTCTCTCCTCTCACACGCGCACGCACACACACACACACTCCCTCCCACACTTCCTGGGACCACATGAGAGGAAAGTTCCAGCGGTGGAAACCCGCTGATCTAGCCGAGGAGACGTAGCTGCACTTGGCGGGTTTTACCTTCCATTGCACCCTCCGCTTCCCATGGAGGAGCAATACGGTCACAGCAATACTTGTCTCTCCCCTTGTAAGTCTGGGGATCATTTTCCAGTGACCCTGGCATTGAAAGTGGCCCTCGGCAAAGGGTATCTCAGCTTCATCTGAGTTCGTAGAACAGAACAATAATTTCATGTGGAGAAATTGAGGCCCCAAGAAGTTAAATGATTTGACCATATTCACAAAGCCTAGGCCGATAGCCCCTGGGGCCTGGGGCCCCTCTGGCCAGGAAGAGGGTGCCAGAGAGCAGGGGCCTGATGGGTCTGCCCCATCCCCTTACCCCCAGGAGCCTGCAGCATCCAGGCAGCCCGAGCTGGGGGAGCTGGCCGCGTTCCTGGGCCGTGCGGACCCATGGTACGAGAGCACGGTCAACACCCTGTGCCCCGCCATCCACAAGCTGGCTGAGATGGTAGGGGCAGCCATGGTACAGGGTGGGAAGAGGCGGGCCCGGCGTGTGGGCGTGGTGGGGGCAGAAGACACCATTGGGCAGGGAGGGTGGAATGGGCGTGGCAGGGGGCTGTTTTTCCAGATATTGCACTTGACCCCTGACATCTAGAGTCAGCCTCAGGGGTAGGATGAGGCAGGAGGGGAACGTGACAGAGGAGCCCTAACTGGCTAGTGGTTTTGAATTCACTCGGAACACTTACCAGGCACCAACTTTGGATCAGACCACAGCGGAAAAAATGAAATAAAATATTCTTTAATCAATGCATAGGCCAATTATATTCCTTCTTTTGAGAGCTTCCTGCGATCACATTTTGGTGATTGTTAACAGATGATGTTTCCTGAGCACTCACCGTGTGGCAGGCACTGTTCTAAGCACTTGCAGGAGGGACTAGCTCATGTCGTGCCCTTGGCAGCCCAGAAGAGGTGCTCTTGTCAGTAGGCGCTGCGATCTCTGTTTTCTAGATCAAGCAGCTCAGGCGGAAAGAGATTAGGTAACTTGCCTGAAGTGACAAAATGAGCGGTAGAATCCCACGTGCAACCTGGCAGCACATCCTCTCAACCAGGACCACACCGCCACACACAGCCACGACTGGCAGTGGGGACGGAACTCATATTTTACTGATTTGAAGAGGCTTTAATAAATTAAGGGAATCGTACCCTTTTTGCGATCTTATATGTTGCAGGCAGTTTTCCCGCTCTGTAACCTACCTATCAGTTTTTTTGACTTGCAGAAGTTTAATATTTTTATGTAGTCAGATGTAGCACTTGTATTCTTTATGGTTTCTGCCTTTGGAATCATGCTTCAAAAGGTTAAATCAATATTCACTGATAATTTACTCTAACACTTTTCCTATCTCAATGTTTACATTTCAATAATTAGCCCATCTGCAATTAACTTTAGCATTTAGTGTGAAGTATGTAATTTTGTTTGGTTTCAAATGTTGAGCTAGTTGTCCTAAAGCTATTTACTGCATAAACCATTTTGCCTCATCAATTTGAAATGCCACTTTTATCGTTTGCTAAATTCTTACACAAGCTCAAGTTTATTTCTGGATACCTGTTCTCTCTCGCTGAGCTAGTAATTTCTGTACAAATTGGCACTTTTATATTTTAATATCTGGCAGAGCGGGCCCACCCCATTACTCTTCTTTTTCCAAACTTTTCAGACTATGCTTGTTTATTTATCTTTTCTGATAAACGTTAGAACTTCACTTCAAGTTTTGTTTTTATTTTTTAAAAATTTTATTGGGATTTTGATTGAAATTTGGAAAAGAATTAGTATCTTTAATGTATTAAGTTTCCCTCTCTTGGAGCATGGTATAGCTTTTCATTTATTAAAGTCTTCTTATATATCCCTCAGTATAATGGTACAATTTTCATCATACAGCTTTTGCCCATTTCTTGCTAAAATTACCCCTCATATTTGCTAATGTTTCTTGCTGTTGTGAATGCTATCTTTCTCCCATCATATTTGAGTAGTTGCTACTTCTAGTATAAAAGGAAGCTATTGATTTGTACATATTTATTTATTTATTTTCACTTCTTAAATTGTAAAATCACACAACATACAATTTACCTTCTTTTACATGTTTATTTTTTACTTGCCACTTTACTGAGCTCTCCATTTTGCTTTAGCACTTGACCGATTGAGTTATCTTCTTATATATTTTATTCAAATAAAGATATTTGGGGTGTGCATGCTTTCTGAATTATACCTAATCTGAAAATGTCTTTGCGTATACACAGAAGACCTCTTAGCTGGGTATTAAAATACTGTTCTCGGAAACTTGGAGGACATCACAGGAGGAACACTTAATGCAGGCCTCAGTGGTGCTCCTTTGTTGGTAGCTTTTTTTTTCCCTGCCAAGACACACATAAGATTTCGATTTTTCCCTGCTTTCCTTTCCCTTATAATTAACAATTTGCATGGTCCTTATGCTTACTCCAAAGCAGTTTCCACATGAAGAGGCTGGAAACATTATGAGCAATAACAGCATTATCAGAATAAGTTCATAGTTCCTCAGTGTGACCTTTCTGAAAGGAACAGTATTCCAACAGACCAGATGGGAGAGTCAGAAGGGATTTTACAGGATTGGATATGAATTAGATGAGATAAACTCTGAATTTCTTTCAAACTCTGATACTATCACATTCGATGTAAATTTCTGTCATGTTTGCTGAAAAACCCAATCATTATGCTTTAGAATTGTGTGGGACTAGGGAGGGCCTGCAGGACGAGGACATAGTCCATTCCCAATAACATGCAAACATTAATTAGTTTATTAATAGATCCACAGACCACTAGAGCTGAAAGAGACATCAGATCATGTGGTTCCACATCTCATTTTCTCTGGAAGGAAACTAAAGCCTCAAAGAGTTTGAATAACTGCCCACAGCCACCTCGCTAATGGCAAGTAGCCAATCTAAACCTAGAATCCCAACCAGACTCTTTCATCATTAGTTATACGCTCGAGCCTCTTGTCACCCCAAGCACCCAGCACAGTGCCTTACTCATACAGGTGTTCAATATGTCTTTGTGTTCCTTGGGGAGATGGGGCTCTCTGGACAGGTATATTTTGATAAGGAGTAGAAATCAGGGGGTAGGAAAGGTTTGAAACGTGTTGAAGGACTAGCCGGAATAGTGCATCCCAGAAAGTATGTGGGGGCTTTGGAGTTTCTCACTTAAGAAAATGGCACCTCCCACAGTAGCCTGGAGGAAGATGGCTGAAGACATTCCCTGTCTCCCTCACAGTCTCCCTCCCTGGACACGTCCCGGACTGTGGACCCCTTCCTCCTGGATGTCATCACCTACTATGTTCGCATGGGCACCCAACCCATCTATTTCCAGATCTACATGGTCAAGGTAAGCACCCCACCTGGGGCTCCCAGGGTGCCATGCCAGCCTGCCAGGCCCCAGCGCCCATAGCCTAAATACTCTGGCTCTGGGGAAACCCCGGTCACCAGGCTGCAAGTCATGAATGCAACACACCCAGACTGTCTTGGTTGTTAACTTTACCTTCTTAATTTCTGGATGAATCAGATCATTATTAACTTCTAAGACCTCAAACGCAAGCAGTAGTAGACTTCTTTACGTGGCCTCTTGGAGGAGTGGGAGCCAGGGCTAGGCTGCTGCGGAAGTCATCCCCAGGAAACACTTACTTCGGAAATCCTGAACTCTGTTCCAGTCTCTGGTCAGAACTCCCATTGCTCGAGGCGCTCTCACCTCCACACCCCTTTTCAGCCGAGACCTCAGGCCAGTTTGATTGCTCACCTCCCCTCAGCGCTGCTGCCTGTCCTCCTTTCCTGCCAGTTTCCCCCGCACCAGTCTCTTACCTGCCCCCCACTTCCCTTTGCACCCTTCCTGCTGTCTCGCCTCCAGCAACACCCACGCCCAGACCGGTCTCCCATGTACCTTACCTTTGCTAAACCTGGGCTTCCGAGCACCACCTGGGGAGACACATCCAAAGCCCTTTGGCTCGATGTCCCTCCACATTTGAGGTGTCCAGCCTCGGCGGGGCCCACGGTGCCCCCTCGGCAGCTCCCTGGTCCTCCGGAACAATGGCTGTTCCAATCCTCACCACTCTTTTGGCAAATGCTTTTTCCACCCACTCCACTGAACTAAAAAAGCAGAGGCCATTGGGTCCCCCTAAACTTCCTGCACACCCAGCAACGCATCCACACCCATTCCCATCGTCACAGTGGACGTGGCCCTCCTGCAGCGCAGGCCGAACCCCTTCACCCTGCCCCCGACTCGGCTGCAGCCACCTCCTCCTGCGCCTTCCTCCTTTGTTCACCTCCTTTCACCTGTTCCTCCCCTTCCTTCGGTCTTGGTGACCTATATCAAACAAAACAACCTTTGGAGCCTATGAAGTTCCATTTGTTTTCCCATTGAGGGTGTGCACAGCAATGGAGGCTTGGGAGAGGAAAACGCTGAGGTCAGACTTCCTGCAGGCCTCGGTCTTCTCTCCGCCTTGTCCATGTCCCTCCATCCCCCTCCGATCCTCAAACAGCAAGCTGGCTCCTCTGAAGCCATTTACCAACGGCCTCCAAACTGCCAGGCCCAGAGGATGTTCTCCAGTCCTATCTCACTGGGCCTCTCTACTGCAGTGGACAGTCGGCCACCACATGTTTTCTTTGTTCTTATAATTAAATGTATAATAGCCAAGCTTCTGTCACAGTTAGAAAAATGAAAGCACACATCTCCCCCTTCATGAAGCTGCCCTCCCTCGACTCCTGTTAACACTGTCCCCTGGTGGGGCCTCCTCTGCTGCCTTCAGAGCTGCCACTCTGCCCAGCCGGTCCCTTCATTCCATCTAGGTCTTGCACGCCTTGCTCGTGCCGGGCCCTGGGCCTGGAATGCCCTTCTCTCCCTCACCCCACATCCTCCCCTTCACCCTCTTCCACTCTCAGTCACGCAGCAACGCTGCCCTGACCTCTCTTCCCCTCACCTCCCAGCTTGGGCGGGGGGGTTGCTCCTCCTCTGTGCTCCATAGTGCTCTGGGCACAGCTATAGCGTTTCCTCCGGCACTTTGTCATAGACCTGCAGGTATGTCACAGGCATCCCTTGGGATAAGGGACTGCATTTTGTTTATCTTTGAAGCTCCTGCTGTTAATGCAATAGAGAGTGTGAGTGTGTGTGAGTGTGTGTGGGTGTGTGTGTATGGGGGGGGGTGTGGTCGGGGGCCTGGCTGGGCCGCTGGGTGTGCAGGCAGAGGCAGCGTGGGGCAGACAACACTCATGGCTTTGCTTCCTACTTCCTTCACTGACCGGCTGTGTGGTCACAGGCACTCTCTAAAATTAATTTCCCCATATTTAAAACAGGAATAATAATCTTCACCTGCCATAGGATTCTTTCGAGAATTCAGATGACTAGCAAATATGGTAAAGAGGTAGGGGAAGAGGAGGGCGAGGTCAGCACACAAAAGATGCCGACCAGTGGTTAAGAACATGGATGAGAACCCCAGCTGTGCTATTAACACTTTCTACCCTGGATGGGACACGTAACACCTTCGAGCTTGAGTTTTCAGGCCCCTAAGATAAGGCTAATGACACCTTCCTTCTAGGGGTGCTGAGATAATATGGGCCAACTGCCTACAGAGGGCCAAGCGCAGAACAAGGTCTGAACAGAAGGGACTCCTGAGCCCTCCTGGGTCTTGGTCCCTTGTTCCTTTGTGCCTTCGCCCTCCTGTTGGCTCCCAGGTCCGGCCTGCTCATATTCCTACAGCAAACCACTGCAACACAGACTTGGACACGGGTGTGTTATCCCAGAAATCAGTCCAGGTCACCTGCTACTGAGAATCTAATTCCTACGTGCTTGATGCCTCGTTCCTTCTTCCAGGGAAGGCCCAGCGCCACACCCCTGGCCCCTGTGACACCTGTGAGAACCCGGGGAAGGATTTCTCGTGGCCCCCTCTGCCTCAGTTTTCTGTCTTCCCAAATTCTTGTTCTTCGCTCTGTGTCCTGTGCTAGGTCTTTTCTTTAACACGCCTTCCTGGTTTTGACCTAAATTTAAGCCCTTTCTTTGATTTCCAAGAATGCAAAACAAAATAACACAACACAAACTAAAAAGCCTCTCAAGACGGTAAAGAGAGTAAACATCTCAGCAACACGAATAACTTAAAATGAAAGACGTGGCACCCGGAGCACAGCTGTAGCTGCATGAAGGTGGGTTTGCTGTCGTGCTGTGGTGACGGAGGACACGTACCACGGGGGACCAGGACGCATCGCAGAAAGAGGCCGTTAGAAAGAACGTGTTCTCGGAGGGGGCTTGTGTTGGGTGGGTTGGGGGAGGGTTCCAAAAGGCAGGACTGTGCTCGGGATTGGTTGCTGGCAGGACGTGGGAGTAATTCTCTGACGGGGGATCTCGATGATTCTTACTGAAAAGGCCAAGGACTCAGCGGTTACTCATGTTTGGCTGGGATGGGAGGGCAGGGGATGGCAGCACGTGTTCCGGAGTGTCTGGTTTTTGTCTTGATCCGTCGCACTCACACAGTGGCCTTGCCTAATGATGTTGGCATCTGTGAATTGCTGACGGTCAGCAGGACGCCGTGGTCTCACTGTGAGTGCCAGGCCAGCTCCCAGCCTCCAGGGGCTGCTTTCCTCTTTCCCACATCCCTGTTCTCAAAAACCCTTTGGCCACTCTTCCACGTTGTTGGGATGCCCTCTGTCTCCTGCCGCCCACACTCGGCCTCCCCTCTTCCCTGCCGCCTTTCTCTGGGGCTCCTCCTCTGGGATTTCCACCAGGGCTCCTTGGGTCACATCAGCTGTCACACGCCCTCTGCTTGCACAGCGTTGGCTTCTCTGTGCACTTCCGAGCACTGAGCTCTGCCTTCTGTCCTTGCTCTGCGGCCAGTGTCTGCAAGAGGTTTCATTATCCTTCCCTGAAGTGAGCTTTGTCCCCTGCTCCTGCCCTCCCAGTTAGACAGTAGCAGCTACCAGGTGGTTTGGGTTTTCAGTAAGTTTCTTGCACTGTTTATAAATCTGTTGTATCGCCATAGATACAGACAGATTCGAACCCAGGCAGTTTTTAAAGCAGCCTGCAGCGCTGGCAGGGCGAGTGGGGCCACCTGCCCACTTCTGGACACTTTCCCAGTCGGCCACATCCTCGGACTGCGGGGGTACGGGGAGCTGTCCGGGGCCTAGTGAGTCAGCCTTCTCCAAACCTCCCGCCCTTCCTCTCTCCAGATCTTCTTCGGCGACCTGAGCCAAGACCCTACAGAAGACATTTTCCTCACTGAGCTGAAGGTGAAGATCCAAGACTCCAAATTTCCCAAAGGTGAGCCTCTGCCTCCCTTTGTCAATGTCGCCTTGGCTCAGCTTCCCCCACACCCCGTTCCTCTCACCTCTCACCTAATGATACCTGCGTCCGCCTATATCCCCCCACCACCACTCTGTCCCACACCTGCTGAATGCCAGGGCTGTCCTGGGCCCCTCCAAGCTCCCCCAGACTGAAAGGCAGCCTGGCCCCAAGGTGCTGCCTTTCCGTCCAGGGGGAGGCCCAGGCGAACCAGCTCCGGCCCTCAGTGAGGTGGGCAGTCGGGGTGGAGAGGGCTGGGAGCCTCGCTCTTGAGCCCCTTCTCATCTCCCCTCAGATGGTTTTTCGCCCAGGAGGAGAGGCATGGCTGAGGGTCCAGGGGCGGAGCTGTCCATGTGCTACCAGAAGGTCAGTGTGCGTGGGTGTGGTCAGGAGGTGGCCTGGAGACAAAGCTAAAGGAACCTTCTGCCCCTTTTCTTGAAGCTGCCCCTAGAATGTCCCAGCCTTTGGAGAGTTTTGCAGGGCTGGGGGTTAAGTTTACCTTATTTCTAGACAAGGAAGTGATCTGATATAAAGAACAAGGGGGCTGGCTCCTTGCTCAAAAATATCTTCCTTGGTAGCTGACCAGATGCTTGAACTGATGTCACTGGGGTTTTTTCCCTCTGTATTTGAAAGGTGGAACATGCTCTCTGGGGCTAGGAATTCTGTGAGCCTTTGTCTGCTAGTCCCTTATGGGACCTCAGTGACACAGGCAAGACTCTTAGGGCAGGGGTGGAAAGCAGGCGGGAGAGGCAGACTGTGGATGGGGGGATGCACGGCGGGGAGATGTCCTGAGGACCCCCACCTGTTCCCCAATCCCCCTCCCCAGGGCCTGCTCAGCCACCGGCCCCGAGAGGTCACCATTTCCCTGCGGGCCACTGGTCTGGTCCTGAAGGCCATTCCAGCCAGTGACACAGAAGGTGAGGAGCTGGGAATGCAAGAAAAAAAAAGAAGGAAGGGACAAGAAGGGGGTAGTTGGGGAGAGCAGAGGGGAGAAGGCCGAGCAATGGGGATGAGGGAGCCCCCTCATGGTCCCTGGGGCCACGGAACTCCAGCTGAGCCCAGGGCTAGGCATGGGTGCTGCCCGGGGGGCCATGTGGTCCCTCAGGTTGCTCACTGTGCCGTGACCACATTCTGGCACTGGCCTCTGACTGGGCCTCTGCAGCCTGGTGGGACACAGCTGGAAGGTGGAGGGACCCCAGGAGGAGTTGCAGTTTACCTCCTATGCAGGGGACAGTTGCATTGTTTAGAAATTTTGGATTTTGAATGTTTTCCCCAAAATTTTGGATTTTGAATGTTGTTCCAAAAAAATTACGTTAATAAAAGATGCCAATTTACATGCATATAGTAAATCATAAATATTAGCTCTTACTATGAGATCTTGGTCTCTGGGAACAACGCAAGGATGGCAGCATGGATCACTAACCATTGCACACATTTGCCAGAGGCCAGGCAGCCTTCTGGGTTCAACATTTTAACTCTTTTAAGCATGATCATCCTATGATGTAGGTATTAGTATTAGCAACTTTTTTACTGGAGAGGAAACTGAAGCAAAGAGAATAACTTACTCAAGGTCACCTCTGTGAGGAAGAGTCAAGACTGGGATTCACACCCAGATATTCCCAGGCAGGAGTCTGTGTTCCCACCTCCCCACTGCCCCACACTGCCTCCCTGTGATTGCCAAAGCTCAGCAGACGAGACTTAAGGGATGTTAACCACAGATGCTTGTAGAAGATCATTCCAGAACAAATTAGAAAGTTCACTGAGGCAGTTATAGCTCATGACCGCTCTATCCCCAGTGTCCAGCTCGTGTCCTGGCACACAGTGGATACTGGATAAACATTCACTGAATAAATGAAGTGCTACTTATACCCAAACATTTGTTTTTTAAAAAAGAATGAATAAATGTGGAATATTCTAGAAGAAACATAAAATGAAAACATGCACTAGCCAGGCTGGAATGCTTACAAGGAAGCCAATGCTAATTCCTCCTTCCCTATCCGACTAGGAGTAATTACCCTGTCTCTAAAACCCTCTGTGGCATTGCTAGCTCTCCAATTATGACACCTCTCTGTGTATGATGCATTTGCGTTCTGAATGGGCAGCATGGCGCCTCAATTTTCTTGGCATCTGGCACAAAGAAAAAAGTCAAGTATTATCACTTCCTGATAAAATGGCTTTCAGGTGAGTTAAATTTGTGGGTAACATATGAAACTGTTTCACAGTGAGACACTCTTGAACCATGAAGGAGACCTGTCATTTTGGCAGTAGCTCATATAACCTAGAGGTGGTTAAGGAGCAGGGCATCCTAGCGCAGGGTCAAGAGCCAGATGGGCAGGGCTCAAACCTCAGCTTTGCCACTTACCATCTGGGTGACCTTGGGCAAGTTACTTGTGACCTTGCTACCTGTTTTTATTTTTTTCACTTCTACAATGGAAATAATGGACACTAATTTGTGTGCATACAATGAACAATAAATGTTAGCTCTTGTTAAAATTGTATTCCTTCTATTTCCTTCACAAGACTCTCACTCCTCCCACCCGTACTCCAGACCCTATCAGAACTGGTCTGGTGATGCCAGAACCCCCTTAGAGGCACAGACATCTGAGGACCCTCTTTAGCTGGCAGGGAGGGATTAAGCCCAGCAGGAGTCACAAAAGTGAGTTTTGACTCATTATACATTATTAAGAAAGTCAAAGAAACACTCAGCTTGTTGGGACCAATGTCACCCCTGGTGACTCTGTCCTGCATGACATCCTGAGCTAGGTATTCCTTACATCCTAGCATGCCCGATGGTGGCAGGGAAGTTCAACAGAACCTTCATCCTTTGAAAAAGTGGTGCAGGAGGAGATGAGAAAGGTGGTGGTTGGGGGTTTGGGTTGGTGATGGCTGCTGGGCCTGGGGGTACAGAAACCTGTGGGTTCACCAGAAAAGGGGGATGGGGGATTAGGAAGGAACTGGGGCTTGGCTGGGATCCAGGTGGAATAGCAAAGTGGGGGCCGGGCAGGGTGTGGGGGGTTACACTGGGAGTGAGGGGTCAAGATCGGTTCATGGAGATCTTCTTGGGACTGAGAATTGCAGACTCCCCTGCTTCCCTGGAGGCCCAGTCACAGCCCCCGAATTTCATTCCATTTCAGGGCCCTCCCAGCAACCCCCAACTGCTGCCCCTGTGACAGACCATATATGTCTGAATGTCAGCGTGACAGAGGTTGTCAAGTCCTCCAACCTGGCAGGAAGGTCCTTCTCTGTAAGTACCTGGTGGACCGGGAAGGGGGGTGGCCAGATGGGGACCTAGGTAGGTGGCCGGGAGCCGGAGGATGGTATTCCAAGAAAGCTGACCTCTGAGTCTTTCTGAACCTTTGCTACCGAGTGGGTCTTCCTGTCAGAAAGAACCCACTTTCCAGTCAGTCTGTCTGAAATACTGAGCGCCAGCTGGTAGAGGGAAGGCCCTCCATGTGCTGACCGTCTGAGGACCTCAGACATACCCCGATCACTGCAAAACACACCCATCTTCTGTCCTCTCCGGCCACCACACCCAGCCAGACTCCTAAACAACAGCTGCCCAACCTTTGACCAAATTGAGGCAGCTCTCTCCACCCCACTGCCCCACCTCCACCCCTTGCCCTTTGCCCTTTGCCCTTTGCCCTTACTGATACTGGTACAGACAAGAGACCCACATGCTTTCTCCCCATCTGACAGCCTCTCTGGACTTCCCTTCCCCGCTCAGCTCAGCCTTGGAGCTCCGTGACTGCACCTGAACCTCGTTCTCACTGACGTCCCCCAGTGCCACACAGCCCCCACCAGGCTCTCACTCCATGGCAGGGCCAGCCACATACTCAGTCCCTATGCCCAGGTGGCTGAGTGCTTCTGGAATAAATCTTGCATCCAGGATGATTACAGCCACAGCCAAACTCAGGCCTTCCCCCTCCCCTGATCCTTGGGATCACTCAGCCCTTTTCTCGCTACCCTCTCCCAGCTCCTCTCCTCCTGTTTGCAATCTCTTTTCTCCGGCTTTGGCCTCTCCCTCTCTGCTGCTCCTCCCTCTTCGCCTACACATGTGCTCGGATCTTTTCCATCTTAAAGAAAAGCAAAAACTCTCTGTCATGACCCACCCACCTCTCTAGCTACCTGCTCTATCTCCTTCTCTCCCTTCTTGGTCAACCTCCTTGAAAGAAACCTCTAGAAGAGTTTCCACTCCTTTAACAAGGACCCTTCTAGGCGCGACGGTCTGCTTATACTCACTCTATCATAGCAAAGTCACCTCCATGGTGCCAAGACCCCTGGTCACTTTTTAGTCCTTACATTTCTTAATTCTTTTTTTCTAAAGATAACATTTTAACCTATAAACAAAAGTTTTATTATTTATTTTAGGAAATACAAAAAGCACAAAGAAGTAATTCACTAGTAGTCCCAATTCCTGGAGAGGATGACCATTAACATTTTCAGGTGTAAACACCCAGCCTTTTTTTCAGTATATTTGTATATAATCGAGAGCTACAATACATACTGGTCTGCAACTTGATGTTTACTCAAAAATATTCTAAAGCCTTGTGAATATGTCTTGGTGGGACCTTGCTTATATTATTAAATATGTTTTGTGTCATTAAGTACATTTCATTAAATATTTATTATATGATGGTTGCATATGCCTGTATAATTATTCAAATGAATTCTTACATGACATTTAAATAAGCTCTCATTTTTCACTACTATAAGCATAGTGTGAGGAACATCCTTAGGGAGAAAGATGTGCTAAATATCAGAGTTATGCCTTTTTAAAAAAATGCTTAGAAGTGAAATCACTCAGTCAGATGACATTCATATTTTAGGACTTTTTATATATTTTGCTAATTGCCCTCCAGAAAGTCTACACCAAGTTCTGCCCTTGCTCTAATGTTTGAGTGCCAGTTTTGCAGCATAATTAACATATCGATTGACTTTTTTGTCTTTGCACATTTGATTGTCAAACTTTCCATTATTTTAATTTGTTTCTTTCATTACCAAAATTAGTAAAGTTGAATAATTATCAATAATTTATTGATAATTTCTATTTCTTCATTCATGTATTTCCTATTTATATTCTCATCCTATATTAATACTGTGGTGTCTTTATTTTATAATAAGAGGACATTAACCCCTTATTTGTCATATATTTTGGAAATAATTTTCCCAGGCTGTCTTTTAATGCTTTTTTTCTTTTTTTACCCAAAAAAGCTTTATATTGTGATGTAGCAAAACCTACTAATCACTTTCCTGTAATGATTTCTGACTCTGATATGTTTATATATGACATATGTCTGAACATCACATCTCATAAAATTTAAGACATATCATAATTTTACATACTAATAAGAAACAATGATACCTAAACTATGAACAATGCTTTCTTATCACATTGCTTGCAAAATACTTCCTAATTTCAGAGATGTTAAAATATGGGGGAAAAATATGTTTTAGAATCAATGAAAATGGCATGCCTATTTAATATGTATGCTGTTGTTTCTTTCACGTGGTTTAATTCCTTCTTTTATTTCTTTACTCAGTTTAAACATTTTTATTTTATAATCTGATTTATGTACTTACATTATCTGTAATTAGTGGGTGTCTAATCCTTCTGTCTACTGCGTTCGCTGACCCTCTCGGTAGCTTTGTTCCTTGTATGTTTCCTCAATTATGAGCTCACATTTGTTGGGGCTTTATCTGTGGGAAACCTGGGTGGAAAAAATGTCCTTCTAGAGAAATTCTGTGTTTACTCTGCATTTGCCAAGTGCCCCCATGATGATATCAGCCTAGGACCATATTTTATGTCTGGCTCAGAAATTTCCAGACCATGAGGATAATGTAAATGTGTACCCCAAACCCACATCAGGAGGCTTTTCTCGAACTCCTGACCTTGAGCCATCCACCCGCCTCGGCCTCCCAGAGTGCTAGGATTACAGGCGTGAGCCACTGCGCCTGCCCGGCCCCCAGGAGGCTTTTCTGATGCACTCATAGCACAAGCCAAAGCAGACAGGCCTCCTGTGGTCTCCTATGCCTGCTGGAGTTCTTTTTTCTAATCCTGTCTTCACTGAGAGCGTGGCCTTTAGGAGTCCTTGAATGGAATCTCAGTTTCAAATCCCAGCCTTGTCTTCCCATCCCCCTGTGGCTATTGAAACCCCAGCCCCTAGATTCCTGAGATTAGCAAATGCCCCTAGGACAGCCAAAGCATCTGATTGACTTCTTTGGAATTTATTGACATTTTCTTCATTGCTTGGCACATAATCAATTGTTTGATATCCTGCGGCAACTAAAAAATACACGTGTTTTCCATCTATAGAATATACAAAGTATGACGTTTAATTATTAAATCAAATACATTATATTACTGTAATCTACAAATTTAAAAAATGTTTTGTCCACTTCATCTGTGCAAAACTGAGAGGAGTTTTTCGACATTCCTGCTCTGATTTTGCTTTTGTCAATTCTATCTCCATTTCTTTGAACCTGAATTTTCTTCTAATTTTTGATGCTGCTGTTATCCAATATGATGCCTTCTTATGCCCGGTCTTTGTATGAGACTATTTTTTTTTCTTTCCTCTCTGGAAGCTTTGGATGCGTCATTTCATAGAGGGTTCTGGAATGTCACAGGAATATAGTTCAGTGGAATCTTTTTTCATTCATTATTTTGCCCCTTTGATGGGTGTTCTCAGTGTGGAGACAAGACATGCATCTTTCAGTTCTGAGATATTTTCTAATGTAATTTTAAAAATAATTTCCTCCCCTTTATTTCTTTGCTTTCTCTTTCTGGAACTATAACTAGTCAGATGTTCTGTTTCCTAGACTGATGCTCTAATTTTCTCATCTTTTCTCTCCCAATGTCCTTCCATTGTTGTTTCCACTTTGGGGGAGTTGTCTTCAAAGTCGTTTATTGAATATTTAAACTTCACAAACTCTTTTTTGTTTTCTGGTGGTTCAATTTCAATAGCATTCTATTCTCGCTTCATGGACGCAGTACCTTCTTGTATCTCTCTGGAGATATTAACTATGGTTTATTTGAAATTTTCTTCTGCTCCCTGTATGTTGTCTGTTTCCTCTGAGTTCCTGTTTTCTATTTGTTTGTTGTGGCCTCTTTCTCTCTCTCTCTCTCTCTCTCTGTACTGCTAGGGGCTGTCTCCAAATATCTGATGATCCTTGGCTGTCTGTTCACATTCATGAGTGGGGCACTAAAGTGCTGAGTTAATGGTGAGCTTCTCAGTGGGCAGTCAGAAGGCCACGGTCTTTTCCAAGGGGGAAACCTAAATGTCTGAATTGGCAAGTCTCTTTTCTAGGACAGTTTTGTTTTCCAGAGATGAATCCTTTCACTCCCACCTTGGGGAGTGAAGGGGGTTGAGGGGATGGGCCGGCTGTCACTCTGGAGCTGGGTTGGGCAAGGGGATTGGGGGTTTCACCAGTCAGTGAGCAAACTTTCATGCAATCCACCTATTTGCAGTACAGCACTTCACTCCATCCTCCTCCATCTGTGGTCTCCCCAAGTCCAGAGTCTCTCTGGTTCTGTTTCTCTGGTCTCTGTGGCAGGGGGAGGGTTCATTGCTTGGCTGCACAGGGGGAGTGGGAACCTGAGGAGTCTAACTACCCATCATGCCAGCTTTCAACCAATTTCCCATTGTCAGGCCCCTTCTCATCCCCACCGTGTGTGGAACCAGCTATCTCATAAGCCTTCCCAGTGTGGACGCTTATGTGTGACCTTCTTCTTCTACAAGTTACCCACTGCCATTTCTCTGTCCTTTCTCTGGCTACAAGATTGTGGTCTAGGACTTGAAGTGCTTTCTAATTTCACCAAAAGTGCACCTCCTTGTTTTGAGCTGAATTATAAGAGGGAAAAAAATGAGAAAATATATACTTTGCCATTTTGAAATCAGAAATTCTCATCTCTTTATTTTTAAAACATTTTAATTTTATTTTAGATATGCCTTTTATAAATGGCATATAATTTGATTTTGTTCTGATTCAGTCTGAAAGTCTTTGTGGGTTTTTAAAAATATATGGTAAAAAAACACATAATGTAAAATTTACCTTCTTAACCATTTTTAAGTATACAGTTCAGTGGTGTTAAGTAAATGCTCATTGTTGTGAAACACATTTTTTTTTTTAACAAATGAGAGTTTAATCCATCAATGCTAACTTTAAGTGCTATTTGAGCTTTGCCATTTTATCTTGTGCTTCCTGGGGTTTTTTAAAACGCTTTTGGCTGGTTTTTTATGTTTCATTTTGCTATCTTGTTTGGGTTTTGTTTGCTCATTACCCCCTTCCCTGATGATTTGGAAGTTATATGTACTTCTTCTTCTATCAGTGGTTACCTCTAAATTTAAAATATGTACATTTGAAATTGTGATTATATGTTAACACTCAGATGAAGCTGTCTTCTAGCACTGTCATAGAGGTTTCCCAGTTTTGTATTCCTTTGGTCAATTTTGAATCAGTTCCACCACTAGAACTGAAGCCCTGTTCTCTGAGTCTTTAAATACCCTAAATCCATAAGTTCAGAAACACCATGTTCTTATAGTTTTTTATCTACATGTCTGATTATTACTCTTTGGCCTCTTCCTGAACCCTTTTTCCTAAATTCTTATATAGCTACTCTGTTCTCAACTTCTATCCATGGCTCACTTCTTCTCTCATTCCCTGGACTGTTACAAATCCACTTAGAAAGATCTAGTACAATTTGTTAAGGACTCCCAAATCTGTATCTCCTGCTCTGACGTTTACCCCTGAGTTTCTGACTCCTGCATTCACCTAAGTTAGCCTGAACTGGATGTCCCACAACACCCCAAACGCAAGACATTTAAATCCAAAGCCAATAGCTTTGAATAGCTGAGAGCTCTCTAGAGCCAGACTGCTTGGGAGCAGATCTTGGCTCTGCCATTTACCAGCTATGTGATGTCAGGCAAGTTACTCGGTCTCTCTGTGCCTCATTCAGTGTGATTACATCAAACGGGGATACAGTGTCCCTCAGTATCCACAGGGGATTCGTTCCAGGACCCCTGAGGATACCAAAATCCGTGAATGCTCCAGTCCCTTAGCCTTCCGTATCCGTGGGTTCCACATATGCAGGTGTGGAAAGGTTCGACTGTAATATTACGACATTGCCTACCTCATCCAGCTGTTGGGAGGATGAAGTGTTTGTGGCACATAAAGCTCTTTGAAGAGGGCTTGGCTGAGCAAACGCTATGTATGTGTTAGCGGTTACGTTCATTTCATCCCCTCCTTAGCTCTCTTCTCTCATTTAATGGCACCATAATTAACTACTCACCTCTGCCAGAAACCTGGGTGTCATCCCTGATGCCTCCTCTTCCTCGCTTCCCTGCGCCCTGCAGGTTTTCTCTCTCAAATACTTCTCAAATCTTTCCCTTCCTCTCTGTCCTCCCCGTTCTGGGTCCAGCCTGGTTGACAATCATCCCAGTTTACCTGGGACTAAAGGGGTTTCCTGCATTTGGGACTTCCAGTGCTAAAACCAGGAAAGTCCCAAGCAAATCAGGACAAGGTGGTCTGTGTAGGTCTGACTTTCATCCATCTCCTTTTCCTGGAAGATGCAGGAGCCTCCCAGCTGGTCTCCTGGCACCACCCCAGTGCTCATTATGTCCACTTTCCCATCTCTGCCCACGTCACTGCACACTTAAAACCCCTCTGCCATTTCCCATTCTCCAAGGGCAGAAAATCTCTATGGTGTTGCATAGCTTGGCTCTTCTTCCTCTCCAGCGCAGCTCTGGCCACTCCCTGTGGGGCCTTCCCTCTGTGATGTTTGGGAGTGTTCCTGAAGCCACACCTCTGTGCCTTTGCTCACACTGTCCGCTTGACCTGAAGCCCCATTCCCCCTTCCTGTTCCGCACCTTCTTTCTGTAGCTCCCACTCATCCTGCCAGGTGAGACTCAGGTGTCATCTCCCCCAGGAGGCCTTTGCTGATGCTCTTCTCCCTTCCCCCACTCCTTGGTGGGCTAGGTGCCCCACCACCCTGGGCTCAGGGTCCTTGTTTTAGTTCCCCATTTCCCCTGGCTTTCTGTGTGGTGTCTGGCACACAGCAGGGGCTCACCAGATGTGTGTCCCAGATGTGTGTCCAGTGATCTATTCCACCCACCTTATCCCAGATCTCATCCTGGAACCAGAAGCTTACTCTCCAAGGCAGCCCATCCACTGCAGCAGAGCTCTGATTGGCTGACAGGTCTGCCTTCTTCAGCTGAAACCTGCTTCCTGTAGGGCAGCCCAGTATTTAAGCTTTAGGCTCCAAGGTGGACCTGTTTACCCTTAGGTTGCATTTCCTCTTTCGAAGTCAGTTCCTTGCAGTGGTTTCTGTTTTCAATGACCTCTTTAAACAACTTACTCAGGGGCTTTTTGAAAATCTAAACTTATCACTCCATCGAGTTGCCTTTTGTCCCTGCACTGGCTTGCGGCGGGCGGGGCAGGGAATCCCAGTAGCCGGGCTTTCCTCTTGGAACTAGGCAGGTCCGTGTGCCTGTTCCGTCCAAATGGATAGGATGAAAACCACTGAGCAGCAGGGGGAAGCTCATGGGGAGCGGGAATGAGGCATTCCCAGTGTGGAGAACAGCATGGGAGAGTTTAAGGGTCAGCAAACATGACCATGGCTGGATTGGAAGTTTGATATAGAACAGTAGTGAGAAGAAGGCAGCAACAGATTTGGGGCATTGGGGCGTGGAAGGCAGGAAGCCACCAAGACAATAGGAGACAATCAGCAGCATTTCGCCCATCCCCTTACCTTAATGAGACTGGGACCCTTTGCATGCTCTGCCTCTGGCCCTTTCCACTGGTCTCCGTGGCCATATTCATAGACTGAAATCCAACTCTCCTATGGGCCGACGCCAAGCAGGTAGGGTGTGTCCAGGTACACAGACCACAACGGGGAAGGAAAAGGCCTCTGCCTACACTGCGGGCAGGTGGGAGGAGGCCTGAGACTGCACGTGACGGCCTAGAAGGCAGGGCCAGGTCCTGCCAGAGACACTCAGAGCAGCCTGATGCAGGAGAAAGAGCATGACATTGGGAGTCAGGGAGTTGCGTCCCCCACCTACCACTGTGCCACATTCAGTGGGTCTCCTTCAATGGTTCCAGGCCTACGTCTCCTCCCTTGTGGAAACTGTGAGTGTCCCTCACCAGGTCCTGTCAGTTCAGGTGTGGTCCTAGTAACGATGGAAACTGAAGGCACCTGGCTTCCCCCAACCCCGGCTCATGCAGGACTTCAGCCCCCTGCAGTCTCTCCAGGTATTTCTGGAAGGTCAGGATGACGTCCCAGTGCCAGCAATCATCCCGTTAGCTGTCTGGCCAGTGCCCACAAGGTTCTACCGCCTGTCCCCCTGACCACAACTGCCCATCGTGGCTGACAGCTCCAGGGCACCAGAGCTGGCACAAGTTCTGTTGACAGCAGGGGAGGAATTCCCTCTCCCTGTGTGTTACCTTCTCTTATGGGGGCCCCCGTCTGACAGAGGTTTGGGTAACTTTCTGTCTTTACTCACGACCCACCCACGCAGACGCACAGGAGTCTATGGGTAGGTGACAATAAGAGGGCTTGGCCTAAGAGACAAAGGAAGGAGAATCCACAGAGGGTTCCCTCCCCTCTGACAGCTGAGGCTTCATTACTGAGGCCATTATTCATGCTTGGCTCCTTCGTGGAAAATTATAATTAATAATAATAACCACCCAACATTAACCAGAGCTCTTACCATGTCCCGGGCACTGTTCCAAGCACTTAACATATGCTGTCTCAATCTTCACAACAGTCCTGAAAGGTAGCACAGAGAGATTAAGAAACATGCTCAAGGTCACACACCCAATAAGTGGCAGAGCCAGGATTAGAACCCGGGCAGTCTGGCTTAGAGATTGTGCTCTTGACCCTCCCCCCAGGGCCTGCAGACTTCTGGCTGGCCCACCCCCACCTCTACCCCAACAAAAGTTCAGCTGAAATGCCCACACACGCTCAACCCCACTAGCTGAGGCTGCTGCTCGAGCTTCTGCTATGCGGTGATGAGACAGTGGATTAACTCCATGGTTCGCAGCCCTGCCTACGCCAGAGATCTTTTTAAAAAATGCCCATGCCTGGGCTCGACTCCATGTCACTAAAATCAGAATCTCTAATTTTATGTTTTTGGAAGGTGACTCTGTGGGCAGCCAGGGTTGAGAAGCTTGGATGGGATGGACTCCGAAGCCTCCAGGCTGGAGTCTATCCACAGCAGCTCCATCGTCCTGTGGTTGTAAATCACCGAAAGCTGCTGTGTGTGTGTGGAATGGGCCAGCCACCTCTGAAAGCCCCAGGACACCCCAAGTTCTCTGTCCAATGGGAGGGGGCCTGTCTGGGGCCTCAGGTTGGGGGTTAGAAGGATGCCTGGGGCTGCTTTCCTTCAGCCTGGACTGAGGCTTTGCAGGTCCTTGGCTGCTTTCTAGACCCTCTGTGTCTGCCCCAGGTAAACAGTGTTGTATGTGTTATAATTTAGTGCTGAGAACTGGAGTCAGACTTATAAAATCCCTGAAGTACCCCAAATCCCACACATAACAACATGCCTGTCACGTAGAAGGTGCTTAGAAAATATGTGTCAAATAAATCACACTCAAACTCAGGTAACTTGACAACCTGACAAGCACCATCCACAGCATTCCAGTTTGTGTTCAAAATCAAGGGCAACAGGTTGGAAAAGAACTGCAGAAATGATGTGAGATCCATGGGGAACCTAGAAGCAGTTTATGCAGGGCTGTCACTGCTCAGAGTCACTTTCAGGAAGACAGCCGGGACCCCATGTGCCAGACCAAAGAAACACACCAGATTGTTGTTGGCAGGGCCTTTTTTTTTTTTTTTTTTGAGACACAGTCTTGCTCTGTCGCCCAGGCTAGAGTGCCATGGTGTCAGCCTAGCTCACAGCAACCTCGAACTCCTGGGCACAAATGAGCCTGCTGCCTCAGCCTCCCAAGTAGCTGGGACTACAGGCGTGCACCATGCCTGGCTAATTTTTTCTATTTTTAGTAGAGACAGGGTCTCACTCTTGCTCAGGCTGGTCTTGAACTCCTGAGCTCAAGTGATCCTCCTGTGTTGGCAGGGCCTTGTGCTGAGCAAAGATGACACTCACATGAGCCATCTCTTTGTGGCAGACAGTGACAAACACCTTCCGGACGGCCAACATCCAGATCCAGAGCCAGGACCAGAGGCTGCTGACACTGTTGCTGGACAAGGACAATCAGCGCACTTTCCGGGATGTGGCCAGGTGAGGCAGGGCCTGCCACTGCTAGGGGTCTAGGCCCTATGGGACAAACCAAAGCAGGAGCCAGCTCCTGTCACCTCCTGGTTCTAGCCCAGGGCACCTTGTCAGAGGCAGATCCTGCAGCCAGGCAGGTGTCCCTGGTGAGTGTGAACTTAGGCCACTGCCCCATGGCTTGAATCCAGGAACAAGAGGCAAATGAATGGCCGACACTAGGCAGCAGCTGACATTACATTTTCCCAAGATTCCTAGGCATACACTCAGTCTGCAGCCCTCCTGATCCAGCCCCCTCGTCGGCACAGGCCCGTCCACATAGGCTGACTTTCTGTGGCATCTGTGCCCCAGTTAACTGGCCCTTACTGGCTTCCCCCGGGGAGGTGCGTTTGGGTCAGGAAGGCGTACACAGAGCAGCTGGTCCAGGCATCTCCTCTCTCTCAGTTAGCCCAGGCCCCGGGCATTCTTTCTCGCCCTGACTCTTCCTCTTCCTTCTGCATGGCCCCCTCCTCTATATCCTATGATAACGGCTCTACCTTTCAAATACCCTGGGCAGATTCGATCCCTGAGACTGGTCACCCGAGCTGTTCTCTCTTCACCCGCAGATTGGAGGTTGCTCCCTGCCCAGAGCCATGTTCCGGAGTCCAGAAGCCCAAGGCACCATGGAGCGGTTCACATGGGCAGAAGGAGATGGAAACGGTCAAAGCCAAGCCCAAACCCCTTCTGATGCCCATCAACACGTTCTCTGGTGTCGTCCAGTGAGCCTTGTGGGGGCAGCAGAAGAGCTGTGTCCAAGTGCGGCAGGCCCAAGAGGAAGGATGCACTACCCCGCCAGCCCCCAGACACTCACACCAACAGCCAGAACAAGGCCAGCTCCCGGGGGCAGCTTCTGGCCTTGAGCAGGAGCCAGCAAGTGCCTGGGAGCACAGGGAGCCTGGCGTGGGGACAGGGATGATGGAGAAGGGCCCACACAAAGGCCTGAGGACTGCCCAGGCAAAGCTGCAGCCACAGAGAGCACACGTGCAAAGCCAGCTTCTCACACGCACGTCTGCTCCTCCACTCATTTTCCACTCCCACTTCTTCCACCGCCTTCTCCCACGCAAGCTCCCCACCCAGCCCTTGAAACCAAGGTTAGTGCTGCTGTTTTGCCAGAGCCCTGTGGCCCAGGGGAAATGGAAGGAGGTAAAGCCTGCAGCGCCTCCCACCCAGCGTCTTCCCTCCCTGCTCCTGGGCCGCTGCCCAGAGCATGCACCTCCAGGCAGGGGCCTCTCCCAGTTGAGAGGAGAATGTCAGATTCAATAAATGCACACTAAACTGTTTCTGCTTTCATCTAATGCCCAAGTAATATTTGTATTTTAATAGAAATTGGGGTAGTACTTAATATCACCCAATGAATCCGCTTAGGCCAGGTGAGAGTTCTATGAAGTCGTAACTGGTGTGTTCTGTCTCCTGCCCCTTCTTCGTGGGACTCTGGTTAACTGAGGGACCAGCATTGTCCCAAAACAGATGAGGGAATACAGGGTGGTTTCAGAGAAGCCAGAGATTAAAGGCATCAAAATTCTTGGCTTTTGAGTTCAAAAACGGACATTCAGGTGTAAAATAGGAACGATCAATGACACAGCTCCAGTGTCCTCACCCCTAGGACTAGGTATGGGGTGGGGGGAGAGTAACAGAGACGACAAAAAGGCTTGGATTTGAGCCCATCCCTATGGCCTGGACAGAGTGCCAGGGGATGGTGGGGGTGGGGTGGTGGAAGAATCCCTGTTAAGCCTGGGGATCCCAGAGTAGAGAGGACAATTCACTTTGGGCCTCATTGCCCTGGGAGTGGGGGCAAGTGCCAGGGCACATTGTCAGTGCCAAGGAAAGTGTAAGAGGGGCTGCCTGGGGTGCACAGGCAGATGGACCCAAGGGCAGCCTCAGAGTCCCTGTGCCCCCATGGGGCAAGGGGAACAGGCAAAGGATTTCCCAGGTAGCTGAAAGCAGACAAGCCCAGGGGGTCTCAAAGGGGAGGGATGCAGCTGTGGGTGGCAGTGTGGAGCATGGCCCCTGAGGGCAAGGTGTGGAGCCAGGGCACCTCCAGGGACACCATCGTGGCAGAGTGCCTGCCTCCCGGTGGAGATGTGCCCAGGACAGGTCAGGACCGGGGGGGCGAATGGATGTGATGGCCCCCACTGAAGCTGCCTGCAGCAGAACTGTGGGAGGAGAGGGACTAGGGACAGTCCTCAGAGTGACTGAGGTGGCTTTAAACCTGAAATGACTGAAACTAGGTGGCTAGATTTTTTTTTCTGCAATTGGGGTGATGTAAATGGATTCATATCAATTTGAGCATTCACAATCATGAGGGTTTTAAGGAAACATTTGCAGAGTTTACCGGTTAAGGTTAGGTGAGGGCTCTGGGACGCTTCCCCAACACCCTGTCTACCAGCTTACAGTGAAAGCAAATCGTAGACCAAATTCTGTGACACATACACACACTTGTTGACAAGTAGCCTCCACCCCCACCCCAGCCAAATTGGGTGCTCTGAGCAAACATTGTATGAAAAATTGATATTTTGGAGCAAAGCCTACAGCACCCTTCCAAAGGACTTGAATTACTGGAATCTCTAGATTCTTATACCCTCTTTGAGCAAGAGAGAAAATACCTCTGAAAAAAATTATGCCAATCCACATGACATGGACACCACTAATGTCATCAGTGAAAAACTGTTTCTAATATCTAATGAAGCCACTTCTGTTGATGTAAGATTGTTGAAGTGCTTGTATTAGCTGCCTCTGGAGCATGGCTTTTTGATTAAATGCCAGCTAACCACCTCTGGAGTGTGTTCTCCCAAACAGGGTCCCTGACTGCCCTAGGTGTGGATTTAAACTATCCAGTGCATACCTGCTGATCAGCTGCAGGAAGTGCCACCAGATGACTGCCCTCAACTGTCAGCCCTCTTTGGGGATTGTCCCAGCTGAAGAAAATTGCATCACCCAAGGTCACTCCCCTTCCAGGGACAATATGCATCCAGCGAAACAGTTCTAAGCCCTGGGGACAAAAACACCTGCCTTCCGGGAGATTTGGTTCTGATGGTGACAGGCAATAAACAAGGCCAGTACAAGCACTGTAAACCCGCATCGTGTTCGGTGGCGCTAAGCGCAGTGGAGAACAATACAGCAAGGAAGCGGGGTGCGGGAGTCTCGGCGGCGGGGGTGGGGACACATGGGTATGAGATTGGCAATTTCACTTAGGGTGGACGGGGATGATGCCTGCGGGGATGTGCCCCCTGATCAGGGGACGTTTGAGTAAACACCTGAAGAAGATGAGGGAAGGAACCTAGTGGGTATCGTTTATTCCACTCTCGTTCCCCTCAGCCCGACCCCGACGGTTTCCCCGAGGCGGGGCGGGGGCCGGCATAGCTGGGTGCGCACCTTGCAGGCCCCAGGCCGCGCCCCTCGTGCACCTGCGCACGTCCCGGAAGTGGGGGAGGGGCGGAGGCAGCAGGACGTGGCAGGTGCGGCCCGCAGGTGCGTCTGCCCCGCCCCCGCCGCGCCGCTCCCTCGGGGCGGGGCCACTTCCGGGCCGGCGGCCGGACGTGGGGGCGGGGGCGGCCGTTGACCTGGTGACCGCGGCGCCACCTGAGGCTGGAGGCTGCGTCCGACTCGGTTGGAGCTTCGGAGCCCCGGAGCCGCCCTCGCGGGGACATGGGGCCGCGCCCTCCCGGGCCGCGCCCGCCCTGCGCGCAGCTCCCTCCGCCGGCCCGGGTCTGCCGGGTCTGCCGGGTCTGACGGGTCTGACGGAGCCGCGCGGCCATGAGCGCCAACCCCCGGTGGGACGTCAGCAGGGCGCTGGGGGTGGCCAGGCTTTTCCACCTGGTGTGTGGGGTCCGGGATGCCTGCGTGACCCCCTTCCTGACCCTCTACCTGAGGCAGCTGGGCCTGGCCGCGCCCTGGGTGGGCATCCTGATGGGAACCAAGCACCTGGTCGCAGCCTTCTGGGCTCCCTTCTGTGCCTTCCTGGCCAAAAGCCACCAGAAACGGAGAGCGCTTCTCGCAGGCTCGCTGCTCGGCTCGGCGGTCGCCAGCCTGCTGATGGTGCTGGTCCCACCGTTGGACAAAGAGCTGGTGTACCGCTCCTGTAACGGAAGCGGCAGCGTGACCACCACAGTCGTGCCACTGGGGGTCACGCTGACTGTGAGCATCACCGCTGCCCCAGAGCCTGACTCAAACCACCCAGCGGGGACACCCAGCCTCCCAGCCAGGAGGAGCCCTGGAGTCCTGGAAGCCTCTGGCTTCAGAAATGGACCAGGCGAAAGTGACCAAGAAATTTCCAGTGATCTGCACGGCTATTTAGTGGGCTCCGTTGAAGGAGTCAGACCCACATCCCAAGGTCTCCTCCATCCTGTCACCCCAGGGGTGAAAGACAATCCCTGGGAAGGTACTTTTGAGGTGGCCAATACCGCCCTCCCTTTGCTTCCTGGGGGCACAGCAGTGGGAAGTCTGGCCAACTCGTCGGCGGCCAAGGGCAAAGCCCAGGTCCTTGAGCTCTCCTTGGAAGGGCTGCGGTGGACTTTCATCCTCTCCTTGGGGTCCGTGGTATTCTGGGAGCTGCTGACAGCCCCTCTGGAGCGGGTGGCAGATGACAGCCTTTATGAATACCTGGATTTTGTGGATGCCACTGACCGATACGGAAGCCTATGGATCTGGAGATTGCTGGGCATGTCGGCAGGCGCGTGCGGCATCGCAGCCGTGGTGGGGCAGCTGGACTGCTTCCTGATGACCAGCACCCCCCGGGGTGTGGTGCACTTCTACGGCTACTCGCTGGTCAGCACCCTGGCCTTACTGGTGAGCCTTGCCTTTCCCGTTCCTATCTGCCGGCAGCGGGAGCACAGCGACAAAAGCGTCAAAGCACGGTCTCTTGTAGGGAGCAACCCTCGCCTCATTGTCCTGGCCTTCACTGTCTTTTTATTAGGAGCTGTCACCAGCACTGTGCAGAACTTTCTGTTCTGGCACATGGACGACCATGGGAGCAGCGAGCTGGTTATGGGTTTCTCTGTCGCCCTCAGCCTGCTGGGGGAAGTTCTGCTTTATCCATTCAAAACCACGTTGCTTAGGAAACTGTCCAGGGTGGGCACGGTGGGGCTGGGGCTGGGCTGCCTTGCCGGGCAGCTGCTCTACTACTCCTTCCTCTGGAGCTGGTGGTCTGTCCTCCCTGTTCAGGTCTTGAGTGCCATCAGCTACGGGGCTCTGTGGTGGGCAGTTGGGGCCTCGATAGAGGCTCTGGCCACTCCCGGCACGGAGAGGCCTCTGAGTGCCATGTTCCGAGGCCACTTTTACGGGAGTGGCTCTAGCCTGGGAAGCTTTGTGGCGGGCTTTGTGGCCATGCGCTTCAGCCTGGCTGTGCTCTACCAGGCCTGCTGCGTGGCCCTGCTGCTCTGGTTAGCCTTGTTCCTGTCCATCCAGCCCAGGCTGCCCCAAGAGAGGAAAATCAACTATTCGAAGCTGCTGGCCATGGAGGCGAGTGACAGCAGTGACTCTGAGCAGGGGACAGAACGGGACTGGCTTGTGAAGGCCATGAGGGAGGAGCACTCAGACTGGAAGGGCTGAGAGAGTCAGAATGCGCTGATCTGGGAAGGACCTAGTGCACTGGACAAAACTCAGTCTGCTGAGGACAGAATCCTGCTGTGAACAGCAGGGAGCCCTGGGAGAGAGAAGGCATGTCTATGCTGAAGGCCAAGCAGGATCATCTCATTGCATGATTTTCTTTACTTTTTTAGTAAAAGGAGATTTTACATCCCGCTATTCAATCTTTTTTACACCATGGAGGAAGAATACATTTGCTAAAAAAAAAATGTTTCCTTTGTACTGACTATATTTTGATGTATAAGGTTTTCGAGAGCTTTAATAGTCCCTACTCTGTTGAATTCAGCAGTGGCTAAAGTGATCACATCAAATTGGCAGTGCCAGGAAGGCCATGGGGACCTGCAGGATTCAGTTGGCAGAGAGGGCAGCTGACTTGGATGAGCCATGGCAGTCCCAGGGGGCATAACGGCATGAGCCTGGTCCTATAGAAGTCATGCTGTGGGCAGGGAAGAATGATAATGAAAACAAACTCCTCTCTCTCCCCACTGATGTATACAGTAGCCACACTCACACCTAAGTACTTAAGTTTCCAGCAAGAGAAAATAATAGGGAATATACTGTGTGTTGGAGGGAGGGGAGGTTAATATGTTTCATTCTTACTCTCAAATGTGTATGGCACCAGGGAAAGGATCCGTAGAATCGTCATCCATATTTCCATCGGAGTAAGGGCAATTTCATGTCCTTTGGACTCACATTTTGCATGTTCTGCCTCACAAGAGCACATAGAGATTTTAACATCTGCTTTGATTGGGGTGCAGCAGTCTCTATACGGTAGGACGCTGTAGGTACTCCACACTGGACCTGCTCCAGGCTGCTTGGTGGCGTTTTGAGAATGGCAAACTAGTTCTATCACCTTCCCAACATCCCCAGAGTCCTCCCTGAGCCCCAGGGAAGGGCCCTTTATTCCAGAGGCCAGTCCCCAAGAGGCTAATTCTTCTACCTTATAATCAGCTAAATATAGGATATTGGATTTAGTTAGAAGAAGCCTCACTGTACAAATGCAGATGTCTCATAGCTGGAGAAAGGGAACCAGACAATGAATGTCCACTGGGTCAGAAATGGTTCTAGGATCTTTATTTTTTTTTTAATTTTCCCTAGGAAACTATAGGGTACAAATAATAAAAAAAAATTACCTCTGCCTTAAGCAATTAGAGATTCATTTGTCTGACATAAGATGTGCAGGGGTAGGCACTTCAGAGTACAGCTGCTCAACGATGACACTGAGGACCCAGAATCTTTTCATCTCTTCACCACACTCAGCTTGTAGGCCTCCCTCCCATATTTGTACCTCATAACAACAAGATGGCTGCTGCACCCTCAGGTCTTTCATCCATGTTCCAAGTAGGAAGAAGAGGGAAAGACAATAGGATAAAAGGAGAAACAGGAACAAGTGTTGGTATCAGAAAAATAAAAGCCTTCCCAGAACTCCTCAGCTGACTTCTGAGTGCACTGTGTCACACGGCCACCCCTAACTGCAAGGGAGTCTGGAAGGCAGAGTATTTTTAGCTGGGAACAGTTACACCCCAAGCAATATTAGGGCTGTGGACAGGAAGAAGAGGGGGCTGGACATAGGATTGGCAGCTAGCAATGTCTGCAGCAGCATCAGTGGTGGAATTTACAGTCGGGTCTGACTTATTTCAAAGCCTGTGTTCCCTTCACCCCAGTAAGTCACCTTCCCCACAGAAATGACTTTAGCGATTTGACCCCCACAACAAATCAAATTTGTTATCTGCATTTTACAAATGAGAAAATGGAGTCTCCGAAAAGTTACACATTGGGTCACTGGCAGAAACACTACCAGAGTTCTGATCTTACATCAAATTTAGGGCATTTACTTCTATGCTGGTAGTTCCCCAACCTGGCTGTCCATCCAAATCTGGGAGCATATGCAAAAAGCCAGTTTCCTGGGTTCCACCTGAATCTCACAGGAATCTGTATCTTCACTGCAATCTCCAAGTGATTCTGATGTGGTTAACCAAGACTTGTCCACTCAGTTGCCCCCTGCAGTTCTATCCTTCTCACCAGTTCTTTGCCAAGTGCTTCTAATGTGCAGTGAAACAAATACTAGCTCCTGAGTGGTTACTGTAGGCTGGGCACTGTTCTAAACACTTTCCCTGTACTAGCTCATTTCATCCTCAAAGCAATCAGAAGATGTAGTCGCTATTAGCATCTCCAGTTGACAGATGGCAGAACTGATGGCTTGTTTGAGGTCACATAGCTAGCAGGTGGTAGAGCTGGGATTCAGATCCAGCCTGGTGGTTCCTGGGCCTGAGACTTTAATCATGGCGCTATATGGCTGAAAAATTGGAAAAAAAGAGAAGGAGGGAAAATTAAATATTAAGATCGAAGGCAGTTGTCACTTGAGATTTACTGGATAGTAGATAGCATTTGCTATGTAGACAGAATATACAATAATGCCAAAACACACGTATGTGCTCTTAACATAAACAAAAGGATGAGGAATAGGAATTGGCTTAAGAAAAAAGTTAAGTTAGAAAGTGTGGTTTAGTCCGAAAAAGAGGAAGGAAGAGAAAGGAGTATGGTGGGGTAGCGAAGGGCTGTCATGACTGAAGGATCTACAAGATTTTATGGGAAGGATGAGATGCTGAGAAACTTGTGTTTGGGTTATTTAGTTAGAATTTGGCTGCCCTCCATTTGTAAAGATTTGCGCACCTTGCCGTGGGGAATTCAAGGATGAATAAAACGCATAGCCCCTGCCCTCAAGAAGCTAACAGTCTGACCAGGAGATTTACTTACATATGTACATGTGCAAGGAAGCACAGGATGGTGTGGAAAATGCTGCACAACAGCACAGCTGGAGTTTAAGAAAAGGACAGATCATTTCTGACCCAAGAACCCAAAGAAGATTTCATGGAGATTATGTCTAAGACTAAGCCTTCAAGGATAGGTAAACTTTTAACAGGTAAGGAGAGGGTGGTAACTCGAGAGAGGGCTTCTAAAATAGCGTCAGCAGACCTACGGACTTGGGGAAAGGCATGGAGGATACTCAGAGAATAGCAAGAAACACAGTTTGGCTGCAGCAAAGGATTTGGACAGTGCTAAAATGCAAGGCTGGAAAGAGAGCCTGGGACCAGATCATAGAGGGCCTTGATTCTGGGTAAACCATGGAAGGTTCTGGTCAGGGTCATGACAGGTGAGGGCTACACTGAGCCTTTTTTTAAAAAATACATTTATTGAGGTACTGTTGAATAAACACATGTTTAAATTGTATAATTTGATATGTTTTGACATATGCATACACCTGTGAGACTGTCACCACCATCAAGATAGTGAACATATCCATCACTCCACAAATTTCTTCCTGCCCTTTATAATTCCTCCTCCCTAGTTCCCTCCACCCTGGTCCCAGGCAACCACTTATCTGCCTTCTGTCACTATATATTAGTTTGCATTTTTAAAGCCTACAGTATGGGCCGGGCGCAGTGGCTCATGCCTGTAATCCCAGCACTCTGGGAGGCCGAGGCAGGAGGATTGCTTGAGGTCAGGAGTTCGAGACCGGCCTGAGCAAGAGTGAGACCCCCCCTCTACCAAAAATAGAAAAAATTAGCCAGGCGTGGTGGCACATGCCTGTAGTCCCAGCTACTAGGGAGGCTGAGGCAGGAGGATCGCTTGAGCCCAGGAGTTTGAGGTTGCTGTGAGCTAGGATGATGCCACGGCACTCTAGCCCAGGCGACAGAGCGAGACTCTGTCTCAAAAAAAAAAAGAAGTCTATAGTATGTGCTCTTTTATATCTGACTTCTTTCACTCAGCATAATTGCAATGACTTCCGACATCAACTACCCAGAGTTAGACTCAAGGTTAAGGGCACAAGACTGCCCTCACTTCAGACACCAGCCACAAGTTCAGGGTTCCCCATTCCCCTCTCAGGTTCAGTAATTCACTTCAATGACTCATAGGCTTCAGGAAAGCATTACACTTTTTATACTTATTGTAGCCAAAGGATACAAATCAACACCAGCCAAAAGATAAGATGCACAGGGTAAGGGCTGGGAGGGTCCCAAACATGAAGGCTCCATCTCCCCTGCCCGTGGAGGCAAGATGCATCACCCTCCAAACACATCAATGTGTGACAATATGCAGAGTGTTGCCAACCAGGGAGACTCACCCGAGCTTCGATGTCCATTGTTTTTATTAGAGCTTCATTACATAGGCGTGACTCATTGAGTCATTGGCCTGTGACTCAATCTTCAGTCCCTCTCCTCTCCCCAGAAGTCAGGCTGATATCAAAAGCCTCAAAGCCCAACCTTCTAATCAGGTTGTTGATCTTTCTGGCATGGTCCATCCCAATCTTAAGTCATTCCATTGGCATAAATTATCTAGGGGCCATCACGAGTCACCTCATTAGCATAAACTCAAGTGTGGTCTAAGGCCTCCCCACCCCAAATAACATATACACTCTTATAACTTGGAAAATTCCAAAGATTTAGAGCTATCTCCCAAGTACTAGGGACAAAGGCCACATAAATTCTTTATTATCCAGGATAATTATTTTGAAAGTAACCAATGTTATTGAGTGTATCAGTACTTCATTCCTTTTTATTACTGAGTAGTATTCCACTGTATGGATATACCACAATTTGTTTATCCATTCACCTGTTGGTGAGCTTTGGATTGTTTTCAGTTTTGGTTATTCCAAATAAAACTCCTATGAATATTCATTTTAAGTCTTCGTATGAACATATGCTTTCCTTTCTCTTGGGTAAATATCAAGGAGTAAAGTGACCACATCATATGGTAGGTGTATGTTTAACTTTTGAAGAAACCATTAAATAGTTTTCCACAGTGGTTACCATTCCCACCAGCAGTGCATGAGAGTTCCAGTTTCTCCATATCCTCACCAACACTCAGTAGGATCAATCTTTTTAATTTTAGCCATTCTAACAGGTATGTGGTAGTACAATCATCCCTCAGTATCTGAACGGGGTTGATTTTCCAGGACCCCCCCCCACCACCACCCAGAGCTACCGAAATTTGAGGATCTCAAGTTCCTCACATATAATGGCATAGTTTTGCACATAACCTATGCACGTTGTCCTGTACACTTTAAATTGTCTCTAGCTTACTTATGATACCTAATACAATAGGTAGGTAAATATAATAGTTGTTATACTGTATTTTTAAACTTGTATTATTTTTATTTTTTTTT